GTCTCCAGGAAAAGGTCAACACCCACGAGTCCCCAAACAACGATGATTCGTAACAAATAGAGATACACAAATCCATAGTGTCAAAACTGCACACACTAACCATCCTCCGATCATCAGATATTCCAAATCCAACGTAGTCTCCATCACTGGTACGTATGGTGAACCTGACTTCTTCCTTGCTGCGGTCTACGTCCCAGGCTGCCTCTACAAAGTCACTCGTGAACATCGGCGTGAAACCTGCTATGGAAACACATGAAAACGGATCACGGATACTGAGTGACCTTCGATTACATTGACAAGAACCCAAATCACAGATGCAGTCCACCAATGATCATATCACTCACTAGTTTCACTGTACTGGTGAGACAGGATACAGTACCACGTCAAAGTCCAACAATAATCATACGTCTTAGCTCTAGTCCCAATGCAGTACGTGAACATCAACAACATGTAAAGCAAACAAACACTTGCCCTTCACGTTCCTGCGTCTCTGGGAATGGGATGGCTGCGATTCCATTGCAAACACTACAAGCCCTTGGTCAGTTCAAATGCATAACAGTGTGGTTGCATAACAGTGTGGTTGCATAACAGTGTGGTTGCATAACAGTGTGGTTGCATAACAGTGCGGTTGCATAACAGTGCGGTTGCGGAGAGCTACTAGTGTGCTAGTGGTGCTGGTGACTAAGTGCTACGTCCTTACGCTTTAGAAATCCTGAATGCTTTATGTACACTTCACAAGAGTAGCGTTTCTCTAAACTGACTCAGCACAGCGATGACAGAGTAACAGCACCGACCAAGCCGCCAAAGCATTTCATTCATAGGATGAGTGATTGAGTAACTCACTTGTTTGTGCACTGCTTGTCTCTGTCAGCATACTGGTTGTTGGAAGAGCTGCTGGAGTGGTTGTTGGTGGGGCTGGTGGAGTAGTTGTCGGCGGAGCTGCATCCAAGTACATATACAAAAGTCATGCAACAAGTGCACAGTCTTCAACCATTCACGTTCAGGCGGCGTACAGCCAAACCATCTCCCTCCCCCCCCCCCCCTCCCCCTCTCTCTCCCTCTCTCTCTCTCCCTCCCTCTCGCCCTCCCTCTCGCCCTCTCTCTCTCTCTCTCTCTCTCTCTCTCTCTCTCTCTCTCTCTTTCTCCCCCTCTCTCCCCCTCTCTCTTTCTCCCCCCCCCCCTCTCTCTTTCTCTCTCTCTCTCTCTCTCTCTCTCTCTCTCTCTCTCTCTCTCTCTCTCTCTCTCTCTCTCTCTCCCTCCCTGGAGGGACGTTACACCTGGAGGCACGACAACGTACTCGGGGTCATCGTCAGGAACATGCGTGAGGAGATTCGAATCCGCGCTGCTGCAAACACCGTACAAACCGAAAATTCAAATGAGCTTGACTTCATCTCGTTTTGCAAGGCGGGAGAGAAGCCAGTTCGCGTTCAGCCCAGACGAAAGTTGGTTACGACTGATCTCCTGTCAGCGGCCTCAGACTGGAAACTTCTTGTCGACTCAGTTAGTGCAAAGATTTCTTTCCCTAGCTGTGTTGCACTTACCACCCTAAGACCAGATAATGTTCTGTACTCTACGAGTCGTAGGATTGTATTCTGGATGGAGTTGCAGATTCAGTGTCAGTAACTCGCGGAAGGACAGGCGGTATGCGGATCTGGCTGATCAATGCCGAGCAAACGGGTGGCAGGTCGTTTCTTTTTCGGTTGAGGTAGGTGTGCGTGGTTTCATCCCGGACTCTCTTCAGAGGGCTCTGAAAGCGCTTGGGTTTTGTAATCGAAGAACGAGAGAGCTTGGAAGCTCAGGGCCCTACACTATGCTTTTTTGCCTTGATGACCTAGACAAAAAAAGGATAGGGATGTTATAAATTCTTTAAAAAATTCCTTTTTTTTTAAGACATAACCTGGGATTCGAACCCGCACTATCGTGCGCCCTGCATGCATCCCCCGATACACTTCGCATACATACTAATTCTTCCAAGTTGTTTCACATTGTGATCTTGCATTTGAAAGCCCTATTTGAATATGCATTGTGGCCAGCCGTCTTTGATGGCACGGTACGGTAGGGGATAGGTACGGGACAGGTACGATCGAGGGTAATACGACACCGTCTCCCGTACCGTACCATCAAACACAGCTGGCCACATACAGCTGCCCGCAATATTCAAATAGGGCTTTCAAACACAAGATAATAACGTAAAGCAACTTGGAAGAATGGGTATGAATGCGAAGTGTATGGGGGAATGCATGTAGGGCGATAGTGCGGGTTCGAATCCCAGGATATGCCTGAAAAAAAAGGAGAATTGAAAAAATTATAACATCCTATCCTTTTTTGCCGTCAGATACGGATAGCGCCAGGCGTGACACAAACAAACACCAAATTAAAGCTGTGTGGACCCTGGCTAGCGCCAGACGTTACTGAAGTAACGTCTTCTGCATAGCTACGGGAATAAAATTTATTTGTTCCCGTAGCTATGCAGAAGACGTTACTTCAGTAACGTCTGGCGCTAGCCAGGGTCCACACAGCTTTAATTTGGTATTTTGTGTGTTTGTTTGTTTGTGTGTTTGTGTCACGCCTGGCGCTATCCCGTATCTGTCCCGTACCGTACCGTACCATCAAACACAGCTGGCCAAATACAGCTGGCCGCAATATTCAAATAGGGCTTTCAAACGCAAGATCATAACGTGAAGCAACTTGGAAGAATGGGTATGAATGCGAAGTGTATAGGGGAATGCATGTAGGGCGATAGTGCGGGTTCGAATCCCAGGATATGCCTAAAAAATAGGAGAATTGAAAAATTTATAACATCCCTATGCTTTTTTTGCCGTCATCAAGGCGGTAGACGGTGTCGTATTACCCTCGATCGTACCTGTCCCGTACCTATCCCGTACCGTACCATCAAAGACGGCTGGCCACAATGCATATTCAAATAGGGCTTTCAAATGCAAGATCATAACGTGAAGCAACTTGGAAGAATTAGTATGTACTGTAAATCATGAATATGTAACGAACAAGTAAATCTAACGAGTTAACGAGTACAGATTTGTCGTTATCTTAAAATTCGTTAGTAAAAGTTGTACTTTTCTGTAGTACAGTGCTGTACTGACTGTGCAGTGCAGATCATGCATGCAATCTTGATACATTGTACGATGTACTGCATTGCACGGGTGCATGAAACAGTAACAGTTCCTGTTACTTGTGCTAGTGCTGGTGTTTGCCGCTGGCGCATGGCGCATTCGACGGTGAAGTAAAGTAACTTTGCTTGGCAAGACGATGGTTGTTGTTTGTTTTACTGGCTGGAGTGTTGTAGCAGTAGTTTTGGTTTTGATTCCTCCTGACAATCATGTCGATCACGAATTATTTCTTGCCTCGCACGACTGCCGAGTCAGTGAACGTTGACAATGAGAAAGCATTGCAGGTCGGCGAAGCTGCTGCAGCGGCTGAGGTATCGTCGACGGAGGTTGTTGGGCGAAAGCGCAAGAGGACGTCGACTGCATCCTACGACGAGGAGGTCCGGACCAAGATTGGACGACATGCCATTCAGTTTGGTAACAAGAGCGCCGTTACTAAGTTTTCGAAGGAGCTCGGCCGTCCTGTCCCAGAGGCAACTGTGCGAAATTTCAAACGAAATTTGCAGACCCAGGTTCAGCAGGGTAAGAGCTTGGCTGATGTTAGCGTTGTTCCATCCGGCCCTCGTGGCAGGCCGCTTCACCTGCCTCAGGAGATCGAAGATCTGACGAAGCAACTCATACGAAGTTTGCGTGGCTCTGGGTCGCCGATCAGCTCGGCAATTGTCGTAGCGGCGGCGAAGGGCATCGTCTGCCATAAGAATCCCTCTCTACTGAAAGAGAACGGAGGAAGGGTCGACCTGAACAAGTCCTGGGCCGTATCTTTTATGGATCGTCTTGGCTATGTCAAGCGTAAGGGAACGAGAACTGCCCGGAAGACGCCCCCAGATTTCCCTGCTGTAAAAGCTGAATTTCTGAGGAAAGTCGCTAGTGTGGTGGCGGAGAACGACGTTCCTCCGACGATGGTGGTCAACTGTGATCAAACTGGAGCAAAGATGGTCCCAGTAAACAAGTGGACGATGGCGGAGCAGGGCAGTCGGCAGGTGGACATTGTTGGTCTCGACGACAAGAGAGAGATGACTGTGCTGCTCGGCGTTTCAGCTGCAGGTCAAGTGTTGCCTCCTCAGCTGATTTACGCTGGGAAGACAACCCGCTGCCATCCTTCCGGGAATGTACCACCTGGCTGGAATGTAACACATTCCGACAATCACTGGTCCAACGAAGTCACCATGTTGGAGTTTATTGACCGCGTGCTCGTCCCGTTCTTCGCTAGTGAGCGTGAACGTCTGGATCTTGCGGACACGCAGTGCGGCCTTCTCATCTGGGATGTCTTTGCTGCACACCGTTGTGCGGCAGTATTGAAGAGGCTCTCGGATAACAACATCAAGGTTCTATTCATCCCTGCTGGCTGCACCGGCATGCTGCAGCCGCTTGATCTGACCGTCAATGAGCCCTTCAAGCGCCACCTGAAGAACCAGTTCGGCGACTGGTACGCGAAGCAGGTTGCGGAAGACATGGGCAACGGAGCAGATGCGACCAACGTCAAACTGGACTTGCGCACTTCCATCGTCAAGCCGTTACACTTCCAGTGGCTGGTCGCAACCTTATCCTGGCTGAAGGAGCAGAAGGCAACCGTCATGCGCGGATTTGCAGAGGCTGGCATCACAGCTGCACTTTCTCCTCCTACTTCTTCTGCTGCTACCGCTGCTCCATCCTCTGCTGCTACCGCTGCTCCATCCTCTGCTGCTACCGCTGCTCCGTCTTCTGCTGCTTCGTCTTCTGCTGCTCTGTCCTCTGCTGCTTCCGCTGCTCCGTCTACTGCTGCTTCGTCTTCTGCTGCTTCTGCTGCTCCGTCCTCTGCTGCTACCGCTGCTCCGTCTCCTGCTGCTTCCGCTGCTCCGTCCTCTGCTGCTTCCGCTGCTCCGTCCTCTGTTCCATCCTCTGCTGCTCCTTTCCCTGCTGCTCCATCTTCTGCTGCTTCTGCTGCTCCATCCTCTGCTGTTCCGTCTTCTGGTGCTCCATCCTCTGCTGTTCCGTCTTCTGCTGTTCCGTCCTCTGCTGTTGATTCTGCTTCTGACTCTACTGCTCCGTCTCCTGTGGCTACTGTCGCTTGGGTTGACCTTACCTCTGATGATGTTTAGATACTTACCTCTACAGACATTGCTATTGCTGTTGTGTCAGCTGAAATCTGTACTAGTACTATTACATCCTTTGACTTTGAGATTGATTTGTACTGTGGTTGAAATGCATCATAATATTTATTTTACAAAAAACGTACTTGTATGCTAGTAATCACATTCAAATTGTACATGTACTTCCTGTGAAATATCCATCTTTTCTTTTCTCTATTTATTCTCTTTACCAGGCGTGGGCCATCCCCTGGATTATCAAAATGGGTGCCTTATTATTTTTCTGTTTCTGTTTTATTTTCACAGGCTTATGACCTGAGAATCAACTTTATTTTTAACCACAGTTTCGTACCAGATCAAACAATCAGTGACCGGGAATCACATTCAATACATGCAACAATTTTTTTACGGCGTCAGTCTGAGAAAATCGTTAACTTTACAAATCGTTAACCTGCAAAAATCAGAAAATCGTTAACTTTGCGGGTCGTTAACTTAATATGATTTACAGTATGCGAAGTGTATCGGGGGATGCATGCAGGGCGCGCGATAGTGCGGGTTCGAATCCCAGGTTATGTCTTAAAAAAAAGGAATTTTTTAATTTTTTAAAGAATTTATAACATCCCTATGCTTTTTTTTCTCTAGGTCATCAAGGCAAAAAAGCATAGCGTAGGGCCCTGAGCTTCCAAGCTCTCTCGTTATTTGTGCAGTAAGACATCTCTGCGAAGCAGCTACATCATCTGGTTGCGACGTCAACAAAAACACTGGTCGGAAGATCCACTTTTCTGAGGTACTGTATGTGGGACTCCGTTTATTGAGGTGCGTTGAAATTTATTCCCTTTATCTTACTCAAATCTGTGGACAGCAACTGTTTCGCTCTGTTAGAGCTCCCCAGCACAGCTCAGAGGACCGAAGCGCAGCTCTTCGCAATGAAATACGTTTCCGTGAAGCAAAGCATTTTTATAAAGAGCTGCAAACCCCGCCAAGAGTGCTCGAAATGCTCCAAGAGCAGTGAGCGTTGCACAAGGCGAGCGGCAAGGGTTCGCGCTAAGGTAAGAGTGCTCAACTTAAATCTTTATCTTATTATTTCTTTTCTATCATTTCTCCATATGAGTTCCTATCAGATGCTGTGAACACCTTGAGTGGAGAGCGCTTGCTCGAGCGTTGAACCCGGGTTCTTAATCCACCATTCCCAGTTCGCAAGGCTGGGCGGGGTTGTGAGCAGGCTTTCATTTCATCTTTTCTTATTATTTCTGCTTTTCATCTCATTACAAAAATTCTGCGCTTTTTTCTCCATCTGCGCATAAAATCTAGACTGACAACCTGCTTGTTAAATCATGCACCTGCTTTCAGGCGTAAAAACCCTGTTGTAGAGGTCTCAGTCCTCATTTGTTAGACTTACCCGTCTTTATAAATGTAACTTAATCTCTCTCTCTCTCTCTCTCTCTCTCTCTCTCACACACACACACACACACACACACACACACACACACACACACACACACACACACACACACACACACACACACACACACACACATACACACACACACACACACACACACACACACACACACCTTGAACCTGCCACCTAAAGGTGATGCAGTGCCTCAAAGAGGCAAGGAGGGCAGAGTTACTTCTTGCATTTGTGTTGAGCCAGGTACTGGAGACGTGTGAACTTCCGAGAGCAGGTCGGGCATGGGCAGGCGCGTACGCAGGGGGGTTTCCCGTTGCCCGGAAACCCCCCAAATGTTACAAACGAGCAACGTTTTAGGGCATTTTTGGTAGGGCGCACGATCGATCTGGCAAGAATGCAAAACTTCAACAGATCGCAACTCAGTCAAATCTCGCTCAAATCCAACGATCCAAATATCCAGGTCGAATAGAAAACTCTCAGCTGTCGGTTGAAACAATTTTCGACGCGCTGCGAGCAATGTCTCTTGAGATAAATCATTCGTAAGTTGAGCCGCGATCTCGCAATTTCAAAGGCGCGCAGTGCGACTCGAGTATCCAGAATTCGAAACTTTTCGTTGCGCTGACTTGCTCAATTTTGCAGGGGCTTCACTTGGGATATTTTCAAGAGAACACAGCCAAAAAAATCGAAACTCTGCGATCAAGAAAAACGAAATCACTGGAGCAGGACGCGTTTGGGCCTTTGGGCCATTTTCGCACCGTCGCTGCACTCTACCGCTATAACTTGATAGCCTATAGCGCTGGATATGTACATGACTGTACTGTGTCCTGGCTATCATGGTCGACCTCATTCTCTCCCTGGTACCTTTCCACTTCCAGGAAGCCCAAGATAATGAAGATTGAGTGAGTAGAACTGAAGTTATGATCCAAAGAACACGAAAAAGCATAATTTTGAAAATTTCCTAGGTCTCTTTAGAAAGGGTTAAACGAGTCATTTTGTTTGCGATTCAGTTGGAAACCCCCCTAGAGGTGACCCTGCGTACGCGCCTGATGGGATGGTGCGGCGCTCGGAGCCAGAGCTGCATGTTCTGCGGTTGCAGTTGTGCCGGCGGTGCCCAGCTTTGCTCCGGAAACAGTGGTCACAGGTGTGGCATTGGTAATGACATTGGCTGCAATCAGGTGGGCGAGGTGCAAAAATCTCTGGAACTGGAGCGTCACCAAGACTGGGAGAGCAGCTGTGCACAGCAAATCCACCTCGGCTAGCAAACCAACGATGGCACGTTTCGCACAACACAGCACCGGCCTGTTCATGGATCGGCTTCAGTCGCTCTTCCCTGCATTTGTGCCGCCGAAGTCCGCTTTCACTGGCGAAGAGTCGCTCACAGATCGCACAACACACTGACTTGGCTGTCGTTTCAAGGCGTAAGCGCCGTGCAATAATAGCATCCGAGATGGATTGGATCCACTCGCCACGTTCAGCTGCGAGGTCGTACCAACCGGTGTATAGACCGAACGCCTTGAGGTCATCGCGTACCACATCACGCCATCGACGCCTGGGGCCATGAGCAGGGCGTGGAGTATGGAGCCACGAGAACAACACTGCCTTTGGAAGCCGGTGGTCGTCCATCCTGGCAATGTGGCCAAGCCACTGCAGCCGTCGACGGGCAACCATGTCAGCAACTGGCTCTGTAGCGCACATTCTATGCAGCGAGGCAGATGACAGGTGGTCCTCCCACTGTTTGGAACGCGAGATGCCGAGAATGACACGAACGCAGCGGTTGTGGAATTGTTCAAGGCGACGTATGTCGGCACGCAACAGTGTCCAGTTCTCAGCCCCGTACAACAGCACCGACAACACACAGCATGTGTACGTGTGTTGTTTCGTCTTAGATGTTAGTGAAGTGTTCCGAAAAACTGACGAGTAGAGGCTGCCAAAGGCCTTAGATGCAGCAGCTATGCGGTTGGACACATCGGTGTGGCATCGTCCGTCTGGTGTTACCACTGAGCCGAGATATGTGAACTGGCTGACATGCTGGATGGCGTTGCCTTGTACGCTTAGCGGGGTACGGTCACTGTCGTTGATCTGGTGCCGAACAGCCATGAACACTGTCTTTGCCATGTTGAGAGACAGCCCACTGACCTCCGCAAACATCTCAAGCATACGCTGAGCATCCGAGTGGCTGGGTGCAAACAAGGCTGCATCATCAGCAAACTCACCATCTGTGATGACCATATCATGACCACGCTTAGATCTCTTGAAAAGCTGACCATCGGCACAGGTACGGAGTGGAAAACCAGACACTCCACGCTCTTGGACGCGTGCGCACCAACGTTCCATCACTGCACCAGCAAACAAGTTGAAAAGGACCGGTGCCATTGTACACCCTTGGCGCAGTCCGTTGCACACTGGGAAGCCTTCAGTGGGGGAACCATTGACGATGATCGTGGCTGTCATGTTGTCGTGAAAAGACTTCAGAAGGCTGACCAGTTGCTCCGGGACTCCCAGCTTCAGCAGGACAATCCACAGTGCAGCACGCGGAACAGAATCGTATGCCTTCCTCAAATCGACAAACACCAGGAATCCCTTGGATTGGTGCTCGTGACACTTCTCCACAACCTGGCGAACAACAAACGACATGTCCGTGCAGGAGCGACCTTTCCGGAAACCACACTGTGATTCAGGCAGCACACTTTCGGCGACTTTCTGCAATCGGTTTTGCAGCAGGCGTCCGAACAGCTTGCCAATGACGTCGAGGAGTGCGATGCCACGCCAGTTGTCGCAGCTAGTGAGGTCACCCTTCTTGGGTATCGGTATTATCTCAGCATTCACCCAATCTTGCGGGACTACGCCCTCCTCCCAAACCGCGGTAATGAGCTTAAACAGATTGGCATAGAATAGGTCGCAGTTGTATTTGACCATTTCCGGTAGAATGCCGGAGCTTCCAGCAGCTTTCCCGTTCGTAAGATAACAAAGGCAGCGCTGGGCCTCTTCAGCAGTGGGTGGGGTGGCCAGGTGTTCCATGACGTTGCGCTGCTGGACCAAGTCGATTTCAGATCGGACAAAGCCGCTTGGAAGGTTCAACACACACACACACACACACACACACACACACACACACACACACACACACACAGTCAGCACAAGTAACCAATCAAGACTTGAACGATAGCATGATAAATCTTACCCAAGCAATCAATGTTAATCTGCTCCTCTGTGGCCATTCCCCTTCTGTAGCCATGATATAATGGCCGTCCGTCGGATAGCTTGCCGGACGCAAACAGAAAGTAATGATCACCATGGATGGCAATGTCCGATGTGTCCGAACTCTGACACGGTATAGAGAATGAGATCTCTACAATGTTGCCAATGCGACGGCCAGTTGGAGCAATCACCTGACTGCTAGCATCAACCTCTGGTTCAGTGTAAGCTGTTGCATATCTACAAAGATGGAGTTGTGACAGGAGGAAGAGAAGGACGGTGTAATCTTGAAGTTCACACAATCATTCACACCAAATCAACACATGCAATAATAATAATAATAATAGCTACAGTTCGCATGTCACTCATGGAAGGATCCATGGGCTTAACGCATCTGTCAACGAAATCCAGGCAGAAGAGCCAACAAAAGGCATCTCATTATTGTTAGAATGTACCGCAGTAAGAACAACTACGCAAGCGCAGCACATTTTTCCACAAGCATCAGCCATTTTTTCTTGTCTAGAGCCAGTTCAAAACAGTCAGAAATATCAATATTGGCATGCTTTAGATCATTTTTAATATTGTCAATCCATCTGAGATGGGGTCGGCCATGTTGTTCGCGAAGGACGTAACTCAGCGTCCTACCAAGCACTGGAGATGGCAATTAATACCCGGGACAACACATGCAACCAGTAACACAATGCCAATGGTGTAGAGGAGCCGGTTTCAAATAGGATATAAATGTAGGTCGAAAACAGGACCGGGCTCAATGTTCCTTTCTCTCTTGGTATTTTAATTAGAAAACATAAGTCACAGTGAGACTACGATGTGTTTACTCCAAGCCACATTTTCATGGCTCTGTGATGACCAGAAGCGTCATACCAGGCAGATGAGTTTCTGACGTGCCGCTTCGCATTGCAACTTGAGTTAAACGTCTTCCGAAAAATCAACGCTGGCTCAACACCTTTATCTACACCTCAATATCTAGTCAAAAAGCTGGAAATACCGGGATGAACAGAAGACACACAGAAACATCAATCTTTGCACGAAGATGGGGATCGCTGGTATCTCCACCACCAATTTCCCGCGGTTTTTGCCACGCAGCTGCTTCTTCTTGTCGCAGGTAAACAGCGGCTCGTCTCTCGCCAAAAAAGCACCGTATACCAATGACAACTAATGGAAGCACACATAAGGCTTATTGTTTCTCTGTGCTGGCCGTTGTGGAGCGATAGCGATTACCTAATTTCAGAAGTCAGGGTGAACTTGACGTGGACTCCAAAACTGTTCCTGTTTGAAGCCACCTCCGTGACACCAAAATTCGAAACGAAAAATCGGGCGACTTGGAGGCAAAGGGCCAACATAAAGGAGTGGCTCAGTTCGATTGACCCTGGCCTCACAACCAACTTCAACATGCCAGCTTCCTTCCACAAACATATTTTGAGTGAACAATCCACGCTGATGATTGGTTTGGGTCTAAACGATTTTTCTGTCAAACTGGTCCTATTTGAAACAGTCTCCTCTACATTGGATGGGTGAAGCTAACATTTTCAGGCAATACTACTGCAGATGTACTAAACTGATGTTGTCAATAGTACTGGAGTTCACCATCAACATCAGCTGGGGCTTGTCAATAGTACTGGAGTTCACCATCAACATCAGCTGGGGCTTGTCAATAGTACTGGAGTTCACCATCAACATCAGCTGGGGCTTGTCAATAGTACTGGAGTTCAACATCAACATCAGCTGGGGCTTCGTACAGACTTACCGATCTTGTACTTGGACACCAGACTCAGTGAGGAAGCCTGTAATGATGTCACTATTCATCTGCACAGAGAATAGCATGTGAAATCGCACAGACACACAGACAGACATTTCAGTAAACGCTTGATTATCCGAACGATTACGCACCAGCACAGGTTAAGCCAAGGGATTCATAAAATAAACAGACAGACGGATAGACAGGGACAGACAGACTGAAGACAGACAGACACAGAGAGACAAACACCACATGTACACATACACACACACACACACACACACACACACACATGCGCGCGCATGCTCACAGCTGCACACACTAACCATCCTCCGATTATCAGATATTCCAAATCCAACGTAGTCTCCATCACTGGTACGTATGGTGAACCTGACTTCTTCCTTGCTGCGGTCTACGTCCCAGGCTGCCTCTACAAAGTCACTCGTGAACATCGGCGTGAAACCTGCAATGGAAACACATGAAAACTGATCACGGATACTGAGTGAACTTCGATTACATTGACAAGCACGAATATCACAGATGCGGTCCAACAATGCTCCTGTCACTCACTCACATCTAGTTGTAGTGGACTGTTTGGGCAGGGCACCAACCAGGGACGTAGGAAATGGTGCAGCAGGTGCGGTCAAAGCCACACCAATAATGTCATCTTGTGACTTTTGAAGCAATCACATATGGGCTATTAGGGCCCAGTTTTCCAATTTTTTTCCCGGGGAGGCCCCCACTTCTTCATGGCTGCACAAATGGCCCAATATCTGAGAAAATCGACCTTCGGGGCTGTTTTGGTGAAATTGATTTTTTTGTTGCAAATTGATGTCTAGCCTTTGTAGAGTATTGTCACTTCGTTTCACGGCCATCAGACCAATATTGACCATGTAGAAATGCATTTTACAGTCAGGAGTCATGTTAATGAATTTTTCTTTTTTTTACTATTTTGAAAGATCAGTGTGTTTGGAGCCACCAAAAATTGTTTCCGTGTGATATCAATAGCCAACTAATATAGTAAAGTGTTTTGACTGTTCAGGTACTTCATTTCCAGCATTCCGTGACTTTATTGAGGTTGTGTAGTTTCAACAGCAGCAATAGCAGCATTAGAAGGAGAGGTGATTTATCTGTTCTCCTGGTGATGGACATGCTTGACAGGATAGTCTGCAACAGATTTTGACGGAACATCATGATACATGTAACAGCATTCACATACTTATTGTGAAGGAGTCAAACAGAGCAAATGCGTCCAGATTCGCCTTGTCACACTTTGTGGAGACTGACCATTTCCAAACATCAGTAACACAGCCTGACAAGCGTTTCACACCACCAACTCAAAAGTACAGTCGTCCCTCTCTAATCCGGCACTTTATAATCCAGCACCCTCGATAAACCAGCACAATTTTCAGTAGCCAAAATGTCCTCTTCATGCACATTGCAGCAGTAAATCAGATTTGTTAATCCAGCACCCTCCCTAATCCAGCAGATTTTCGTGGCACAAATGGTGCCGGATTATAGAGGGACCACTGTAACAGAATGTTACTAGTACTCGAGATTGCCCAGCCTCACGTGCTCCGTGATGGTCTGATTCGCCATTATTGGCTCGAGTATCGAGCTTGCCATCAAAAACATTTTAGGATCATCGTCGCAAAGAAAACTCGCATCATTTCGTGCTGTTTTAGCAGGTCTGGTGTGACACTCAGGAAACAGTTCTGCCACCCGCGCAAGGGCGGCCAGCGACCTTGCAAGCGGCGTACCCTCAGGAATCCACCTGGTTGTCCTTGCCTGGAGCTGTAGCAACTATCGCTGAGGCAGACTGTGGTTGGCCTTGATCATACTCATCCAGGCCAAGTCCTCATCATCGTCGCCCCCGACAGGTAAGTACCGCGTGTCATTTGCGATCGATTCGACTGACATGCGCTCTCAGAACTAGAAGCGCTGTCGCCGCTTGACAGGATATCCACAAAGAACGATGCATCACCGTCCATGGGATCGCGGCTGCTGTGCTCCGTGAGCCCAATAACCAACTGACACAAGAACCGCCTTCCATTTCCTTCCGCCATTGTCGTCTCCGCACTTTGCTTCGACAGATTCGATTTTTTGCGAACAAATTTGTTTTTAGTGTTTTCTCAAAAAAACCGCGTAGCCCCGAAGGTCGAAAGTCTCAGATATCGGGCCAAATGTCAAAATACCTTCCAATGCCCTTGCCAATGTCTCCATAAAACTTGAACAACACTAAAACAAGGGAGAACATCAGGAACTCCAGAATACAAAGAAGCACCAGATATTCCAAGAGCTCCAAAATCATGTCCTCAAGACCAATGGCAAGAAACAGAGATATGACTGGCAGCAAATCGGGGTATGCTGGCTGCCTGTTTACTGACCAGTGGGTGCAACAGTTGGCGGAGCTGTGGAGGGCGATGGGCGAACTGCAATGAACACATAGGTGCCAAAAACAGAACACGCACACAAACATACACACAGACACACTCACGAATGCATTTTCAGACACGTTCACACACACACACACACACACACACACACGTTCACGTTCACGTTCACACACACACACACACACACACACACACACACACACATACATACACACACACGCACACACACATACATATACACACATACACACACACACACACACACACACACACACACAGATGCAATAACCATAACAGCGCCTAAGGAAGAACTTTGAGAGTCCTTCATCGAGAAGCTTCAGCAGGTATATGCAGCAAATTAAAGTTTGATGGGGGGGGGGGCAATACATCATAAACAGACATAATGCATTGCTTTCAGCTTCCAGAAAACAGAGGAGGTGCCAAGAAACAACAAAACTCCACAAGAAACATGACCCATACCTCCACAGTCAATGTGGACAAGTTCTCTTGTGAACCATTTATTTTCGACTCCGTGAAAGCCAATTTGACCTCCGTCGTCCACTGGTCCCCGACTAAACAGGAAGAAGTGGCTGCCGGCAACTGCGACGTCTTTCGGGTCCTCGCTCCAGCATGGAATGGTGAACGTGATGTTGGTACCGTCTACATCGTGTGTGCCCATAACACTCGACACTTGGCTGTGCTCGTCCTGCTCCGGCAAAACGTAGCTACGCGCATACCTATAGCAGCACACAACAGCACACAACAGCACACAGCAGCACACAGCAGTACACAACAGCACACAGCAGTACACAGCAGCACACAACAGCACACAGCAGCACACAACAGCACACAACAGCACACAGCAGCATACAGCAGCACACAGCAGGACACAACAGCACACAGCAGCACACAACAGCACACAGCAGTGTAAACACATTGCACACAAACGTACACAACATAGCTACGTGCATACCTGTAGCAGTACACAGCAGAGTACAGAGCAGAGTACAGAGCAGAGTACAGAGCAGAGTACAGAGCAGAGTACAGAGCAGAGTACAGAGCAGAGTCCAGAGCAGAGTGCAGCTGTGTATACACAGTGCACACAAACGCACACAAGACCAGAGACTTTCGTCCACACCGAGTACTACAAGAACTGCAAGGTGCATTTACATAGTGGCCTGGCCACCCTACTAGTATATGTCAGGCTCAAAACCCATAGCACCTACATGTATACATGTACTTCCTCCGCGTCATTAAAATTGTCGCTTCCCAGAGTGATTTTTCGAATTTATTTTGTCCACTCGAGGAAACAAAATCAGCTAGAAATTGAGGCAGAGCATTGTCGACGGACCAAGCTTTAGTTTGTGGCCTCCCGCTTCGCTGCACTTGCAGCTAAGGTCGACGTCTTCATCAGAGTTTGACGCAGACCCTTAGTACTCAACAATACGATGAAGAAGACGCGCGTTCAAATTCAGGTCAAGAAACTTCGTTTTCAAGCGATCCATGCCTCCAGGTGGCAGGGGATGAAGGCAAGCTAGCATTTTTCAAGTACACTGTAACGACCTTCCAGCTGGGTAGGGTAAGCAGTTCCGCACCTTCTTTCCTTGGCAAGCGCTTCGCTGATTTTGTCGGTGTTTTCAGACCTGCTACCTTCGCAGCAACATGCGCCACAAGTAGCGCATTTTAGGAATTTGAGACCACTTTGTTCTTGCCATCGTCAACTTCAGCATTTCATATTCAGGAGAGATACCAGGATTCTTATACCCGGGCTTGCAGTCTTGATAAATGCCCACTCGAACGATGTGGGACGGCACGAACTCCAGAAAACGAAATGCGCTCTGGGGCGGAATAGTGCGGAGCGCGATGAATTTGCTTGGTGCGGAAGAGAGCTTCGACGAAGTCCGAGACCACCACGGCTTCAGTAACAAGTAGACATTGTGCAGGAAGGGTCGCACCAGTGTTCGAACACAGAAAACAGCGATTCCGGCTGTCTGACGAAGACGAGCCAAGTCACAAATATTTCGATGTGCGAAGCGACAATTTTAATGACGCGGAGGAAGTATATACAGTCAAACCTCTTTAGAACGAACATCAAGGGACCGATGATATTTGTTCGCAATAACGGGAGTTCTTCTTATCCATATATTTTACCCAGTGAATACACAGGGTTTTATCCAATACAGTTACGAATACTAGTTCTTCTTAGGCAAACATTTGTCTTATCAGTCGGTTCTTCCTAACCAGGTTTTACTGTATGTCATATTTCTCACTACTCTGTAGAACCGGTCAACTAGAAAACATGCACACGTGCTCCATGCTGTTGCGCTGTTCAACTCTCGGCCGTGACATCGCGTGTATGTGTTGTTGGGGGTGCACACGCATGATTGGTTCAAGGCAGTCTTGTCTCAAGTCTCTGGCTTTGGATTCGTGTATCCGTCGTCTCTTCGTTCATTCACAAACAGAATTCTTACGGTGTAATTCTACCATCACGGTGTCAAGTGGAGTGTATAACACTGGTACGGTGCTGAAAGTAATACTGTAAGTAAGTGTTTTTATAACGAGTCGCAAATTCAACGATTGTCCAAAATACATAGGTTAACGAGAAGATACGTTAACGATCTTACACTCTCAGGCATATCCACACATAACACATACATGTACATGTATGAGGCCTTACAGCCACAACAGAACTTGCTATAACGAAGACATGCCACACACCCGTTAAAACGTTAGATTTACATGTCTGACAGTAGTAGCCATTAGAAACAATGCCCCGCTTGAGCTTGAGCAGACGTAAGCCCACAGAGCTGAAACAATTTCAAGCTCACCTGTCCGCCACAACTACCCGTCCACCGCCATCAACATGACCTGTGATTATGTCACTGCCAGCCTGCGAGCACAACAACAACACCGATGACGACGACGACGACGACAATAGGTAGATAGTAGGGCAGCAAAAGCAAAAAAAACAAAACAAGAGATCGATCCACATTGGGTTTCACCTTTTTTTTCAGTTACAAATGAAAATAGTATACGATGAGGAAGCTACCAAGCACTTCACGTGGGTGCAGAAGGGGATGGGAGGGGGGGGGGGGGTAACATCTGAGAGGCAGTGGGGTGAAATTAGGCCACACAGCTAACCCTGGACTATTCCTAGGGGTAACCAAATAGTCACAATATCACTGGCACACACGGTAGGCTCTCGGGCACACCAGCTTAGAAGCATGTTGGGAGTGAGGAGGGGCAATCACTCAGACTCATCCCAGTCTCAGAAAACCCAACCAGTTTGTGTGAGCGTACACGTGCAGCTTTGATAGACCATACCTTCTAATAACAATAATGTTGGAGAGTGAGTTGTGATGTACGTACCATACGCCTGTCATTGGATATACCGAATGCCACATACTGGGTGGCAGCGGCGAAGAGCGGTGAGTGAAGATTGATAGTTACAGACTGTGACCCTTGGTCTACCTTCCAGCGTGCGGTGAACGGACTGACTGTGCCAGCGATGGCTTCTGCTTCAAAGCTCCCTGCAAGCACATGTCATCCAGCAGTGAGTACACACAGTCATAACGCCATCATACTGGTATCATTTACAGAAGGAAGATTACATGAGCAACTACAACAACAGTGATCAAAGTACAATAGACACCCTTAGCAAACAACGGTAACGCTATTTTTTACGGTACTCGTACCTTGATCACTCAAATAGCGTTGAAGCTGCAGCGTAAAAACGTTATGGGGGCTGATTTATCGTTGTGACCAATGGTACGTTTTTTGGCCAAATATTGCATAGTCCGTACGCAGTTCACCTTGTATCGCGTATATGGCCCATATGGTGACATAAATGGTTGTACCGCGCGAAATCAAAGCTATTCTCGTGGCAACAGCGTACTAAAAATAGCGTGCATCTTGCTAAAGGTCGAGCCCAAATCACAGTATTTCCCCCCTTACGGTAATACCGTTACAACACAACATTGTTTGCTAAGGGTGCCTAATGTTTCTGCTACTCTACTCTAAGTTCTGTAGCTCCCCCCCCCCCCCCTCTGGAAGTTGACTATGGACACACACAGGGCTTGAAAAGGTCCTATGGCTCTTGTGCCTTAACACCAGAAACAGAAAAGGCGGCCTCGGCCATCTTACCTGAAGTGTTTGAGTTTCCCGGAGAGCTTGTAATCACCGCTGGTCCTGGGATAGTGGGTGTAGTGGTGTCTATAGCGGAGGCTGGCACGACGGTGGTGCTGGTCTCGCCTGGACAGTAGAAAACCAATCAAATACCCAGTTGATGAGGGTCTTCAAGCACACACGCACACTGTACAGTATGCATTGGCACGCAACACTATCACAGTTACATATGCAGATGTATGCACACATGCACACGCACACGAGCGCAAATACACACCTCAGGCCTTAGACACCCATCACTGGAAGCAATGACAGCTATGCTACAGCAAACGCCATAGCAACTTGTGCTGGGATGGCTTGTGAGGCTGAAAAATTGACTGTGTCGCAATTAGCCTGTTGTACACTGCCAACCTTTGAAGTGGTTTTCTCGCCAGTGAATGTAATACTTTTGGTCTTCCCTTTTTTTCCTTTTTCCAAATTTCCTTTCATTTGCCATCGTGAACATGCTGATTGTGAGAAATCGTGAAAACGTAGTGACGTGAATATTGGGCAGGTGACAGTACAGTCAGACCTCGCCTATCCGGTCCTCTTTTATCCGGTCCTCTTTTATCCGGATCCCTCGCCATCCGGATCAAAATCGTTGGTCACCGATTTACAGCATACGCCATGCATACATACAGTACGTGTGTTCGATAATCCGGTTCCCTCGCCTATCCGGATATTTTTGTGGAAAAGGCATGTGTGCAGCTATGCAAGGTCTGACTGTACATGTCGTCAGTGACTTGAATCAAGCACCTTACCCCGGCAGTATTCTGCTAGCTGTGTACGCTGTATCCAACGGTTGGTGGCATGGTAGCCGATACCACCGTTCACAGTGGCACCAGTAGCAAACAGTAGGTACTGTGTGCGTAACGCACTGACATCATCAAGTACGTCCTGGCTATCGCACGGAATGCTGAACGCAAACTCCACGTCAGCACCATTCTGACGGGCAGCAATTTCACTCAGCTGGCTACCGTCAATATCGAGAAATGGAGTGTTGCGTGTAAGGGCAAACCTGAATAGAAACCAGTAGGTGACAGTGCAGTAGCAGCAGCAGCAGCAGAAACAGAAACAGCAGCCACAACAGCAGCAGCAACAGCAGCAGCAACATCATCAGCAGCAGCAGCAGAAACAGAAACAGCAGCATCAACCGCTAACGGGCAAGAGGGAAGTTTACACACCTACATAGGCTGAAAATAATCCCAGAGAATTTGCTGAGGAATTCCAATGATGACACCAGGCCTTTGAAACTGACAACTACATATGGAAGAACTTGAGCAATGCATGCTACTTTTCACTGAAACACCTCTGCATAGAGTATCTAAACGGCAAAGTTGAGAAAAGAATCTTAACTCATTCAGCGCTAAAGACGCATACAGTCAACTTCGCTAATAACGACTGCGGATATAACAACAATTCGCGAATAACGACAGACTTTTCATGCCCAGAGCAAAGTCCATTCTACCTGTATACATATGAGACTTCGGGTATAACGACACTTCGCGAATAAGGACACTTTTCTGGTGGGCCGAGTGTCGTTATATGCAAAGTTGACTGTATATAGACGTCATTGAAAACGACACCAATGCGCGGAGGATGTATATACATGTATACGTCATTTTTCAATGCTGATGTGCCGACTTGTAGATCGCTCCGCGATCAGTTCCTATGGGCCACAGCGCTTGGGGACTACCCAGAGAGAGTCTAGATAGTCACCTGTTAATTTCAATTTGTTTTCAAGATAATTTCGACCATATGTGAACCAAATAATCTACGTGGAGATAAAAGTTTAATAATAGCTATGAAAAGTATGATTGCCGCAGACATCACCAAGCAACATGACAATTTGTTCAAGGTTTAGTTTGTTTTTCCCTTGATCACTTTAGTTCCGTATTTCCACTGATGATCGGAGCTTGAAAATCGATTCTGGAACACACAATACTAAACCTTGAACAAATTGTCATGTTGCGTGGTGATGTCTGCGGCATTCATACTTTTCATACCTATATGTGAACCAATCCAATAAATTTGCACATGGCAAGCAATAATACACTGCATCATACCATGCAGTACAAAGTATCAGGCGTAAATGGGATTCTCTACTCTGCTTACTCTATGTGCTTTGTGTAGGGTTATGGCATGGGGATGAAAACATTCCTGATATCCCACAATTCACCGCCCAAGCCGGCATGAAAGCCAACGGCCCACCAGAGGCGACCCCGTATGACTTTGCAAAGCTGTTCTTCACTCCCCGGGATCTATGACAGTTGCTGGTGGTGATGGGGACACACCGTGCCATGCAGAGCAGTACCTGCATGGCACGCTTTGGTGCAGGCTTGGCACGGCACAGTCGACTGAAGAAGCGGGTGCCCGTCCTGTGCCGGACAGGAAAGTGTTTATGAGCCTCTATCTGCTGATGGGCATAGAGAGCAAGCCAGAGATAGATATGTATTGGAGCACCACACACACACACTTCACTGCTGAGTACGCCAGTCTTCAGCATATCTATGCCACAAGATTGTTGGTGTGCCATGCTATCGTTCCTGCATTCCGCCGACAATGCCACCACTGATCCACAGGGCAAAGCTACGTCCGCTGATCAACATAATGTGCGGTCTGTTTCGAACGGTGTACACGCCAGCACGCTGTGTGTCCAATAACAAAGAGCTGGCGGCTTGGCGTGGCTGATTGCAATTCCGCCAGTATATACCCTCCAAGCGGGCCAGATTCGGCGTGAAGGTCTTCGACCATTGCGAGTCAAGTGGATACATGCGTGATTACATCATCTATGTTGGGAAAGACACGACGTTTGATGACCACATGGTGCGCACCCGGGCAAGCCCCGTACCGTAGTACCAAAGCTGATAGAGCCTCTGCAAAACAACGGTTATCAGCTGTACATTGACAATTGGTATACCAGCATTGAATTGGTCATTTATCTTGCACAGCATGGCACCATGATGTTCGGCACAATCCGGAAAAGCCGGCGCGGGCTTCCAAAACATGTCACAAACTTCCGTGATATGTCACGAGGAGAGTTCGTGTTTCATTCGTGGAATGGGATACTCTTCTTTGGACTGCCCGACACCAAGGAAGTGCATTTCCTGTCTACTATCCATACGACTAGTATCGTGGACAGCGAAGAGCGTTACGTACATCGCCTCCCGACTAAGAAGCTGGTGCTGGTTCATGATTATAACCAGTCTATGGGTGGCGTCGACAGAAATGATGAGATGGTGAGTTTTACACAGCGGCGAGAAAGACACAGAAGTGGTACAAGAAGCTTGCCATCCATCTGTTAGCAGAGTGTCTTCTGAACGCTTTCGCGTTGTATCGCAAATACATCTGCCAATCAAAGAAGCACTCCTTCATCACGATCGCATTGAACACCATGCTGCAGTATGGAAGGAGGTCTGGTGCTGCTGCTGCTTGAGCTGCTCCCCCCCCCCCCCCCCCCCCCCAGCCAGACCTGTTGCATGCTCTGTTCCTGCAAGTCGCCACGTGATCCGTAGTATACCGAGCACCCCAAAGAAGGAGAAGCCACAGAAGAAGTGTCGCTACTGCTCGCGGAACAACATCAGGAAGGAATCTCGGTACTGCTGCTTGAAGTACCCTGGCCAGCCTGGACTATGTGCTGCTCTTTGCTTTGCCCTGTGGCATGAGTAACTGTATATATGGCATGTACCTTATATACCTGTATACCTGGTCCCTGGTTCGAGTCCTGGTGGTGATAGTCAATTTTTTTTCTTCAGACTTTTCCCGTTTGCACCTTTCCCTCAAACCAAAGAACATTACCTGTAAAGCATATTACCTGTATATAGCTACTTTTCATGTCATAATTATATTCATTGCCGGTCTATAAGGGGGAAAACCCGTACATGGAGTGAAAAAGTGATACTGAATGCAAATTTCAATTTTTTCTATCTGCTCACTAGAAGCTTGCAGAGTGTTTTATGCATCGTAGAGTATGTAATGTTATTTAACAATCATCTCAACAGGCACCAGCTGCACTGCACCCCCCCCCCCCCCCCCTCTATCAAAAAGATCTCGAAGGTCTTTTCGCATAGACGACCTTTACATTTTAGTATCTGTCTCTGGAAGTTCAGAGCTCAAAGGATACAGTAAGGTCAAGACTTACTGATCCGTTACAAAGGCACCAGTGCTGTTCATCACCGCAACAAGAATGTCACTGCGCACCTGAACCAAAGTCAAACAAACGAACCAGAACACAGACAAAGAAACACACACACACATACACACACACACACAAACGCGCACACGCACGCACACACACACACACACACACACACAGGCAACACTTACAGGTGTTGACAGCTTGAGGCAAGGTGGAAGAAATGGCACTTTGAGACCAAGTACATCTTTCCTAAAAACCAGTGGACAGTTGGTAGGATCCTGGTCTATGGTCTATCCATATGAACCGCTATTTTAAGAAGCGAACATATCCTTGGACACGGACCCGCGTCTAGAACTGGGGCAAAGAAACCATCAAGGCCAACACTGCTCCCCATAAAACTGTCTAAGTTGAAATTCTTAAACTTAAGAACTGTAACATACATGTAGGCTGTACAGCAACGTGGAGAGCAGTACAACATACAAATTGCATGGTGCACAACATGACGTGTAACACGACGTGTGAGGTGTAATATGGCACATTCGATCACGAATAGAGTCTCCACTAAGAACAAGACCACATCGTGGAAGACTACCAAACTCTCATACAGACTTAGCAGTGACCATAGACATGTCCTGGTCACTTTACAGGGTGTCACACATATCTACAATAGAAACAATCATGATGGCTAACTCAAGCAAACAACTTTGGACGGCAGGTTTCTCCCATGTGTGTTGAACTTGACCCTGCGTTGATCTTACCATGTATTCATCTTCAGAGAGACCAACAGCAACATATCTTCCAGCCTGTCCACGCAATATGAACCGGACCTTTTGATTATCAAAGTCCACAGCCCACTGCGCGCTCATCAGTTCATTCTCAAACTTGCCGCCTGTAAGAAAGCAAAAGCAATTGCCAACACACTGTTCACGAAGCTATGCCAAAGACATGCAATGTCACAAAATAGCGTAGTACGTCTGGCATAGTCACGGTCCTGTGTGCTTTATCCCACAAGTGTGTGTGTGGAGGGGGGGGGGGGGGGGGGGGGGAGGGGGGGGGGGGTGCGTGTGCGTGTGTGTGTGTGTGTGGAGAGGGGGGGGAGAGGTTGGCGTATACATGTACCATGGGACCAAGTGAAAGTGTCTGAGCGGCGAGAAGGCGTAGATCACTTGTCAGCAGCCGGCCACGCTGCCTGCTCCGTGACACGAATATGTATTGGCAGTGGCGGTATTGCACAGAATGCATGCCCCGTAACGTGAATACAATATACATACCGTATATTCTCTAATACAAGCGCCGTGCTTATATTTTTTCAACACCCCTCTACCCCGTGCTTATAATAGAGACCGTGCTTATATTGGAGACCGTGCTTATATTTTTTCAACCAATATATCCATACAGAGCCAGGAGAAATATATGACGGATATCATGCATGCAACACAGAATTCCACTCCGAAAGAAGTGCCAACAAAGAGAAACGAACACACACTTGCACAGAAACAAGGAAGATACCAGGTACGTGGCAGATGTCATGCATGAAAAAAACACTGAATTCAAGCCGACACGCACACACTCACACAGAGCGCGCGCACACACGCACACGCACACGCATGCACACACACACACACACACGCACGCACACACACACACAAAGAATCAAGTTTCGAGTCCAGTTTCAGTTTAAAGATCGCAGTCGTCATCGTCGTCGTCGTCATCATCTTCCCCACTCTCCCTCTCACTGCAACTTTCTCCTCCTTCCAGCACCTCCACAACCATCATCTCCTCTTCTCGCTCGTCATGCTCTTCCTCCGGTACAAGTACGGGCTCAGAGATGGTATGGCTGCTCGACTTGGATTTCAGAACTTCCATACCATCGGGGATGGGACCATTCGGCTTGAAGCAATGGATCTGGTCATCCTCCAGTCCATGTAAGTCGTTGGTGATGCCACGCGCCTTGAAGGATTTCTCAATCAAGTCGGTGGAGATGCCGTCCCATGCATCCACAACCCACTGCAGGTACGTAGCAATGGGAGGTGGTCGGGGATTGCCGCCGCGGGTAACCTCCTTCTCCGCATCACTGGCCATCCAATCCTCGTGTGCTCGCGCAATGGCAGCCTTGAACGGTTTGTTCCACGACACGTCTGGAGCTTGCACATACTTGGTGCAGCCACCAGGAACAACAGCACTGTGTATTTTAAGCTCCGACATGACGTTTTTGGTGTCTTGCGAGATATGACATCTAAAAGAGTCCCAAACGAGCAGACGTTTGCCGAATGCCAGGGGCCCAAGCACACGACGCAGAAAATCCTCAGTGAGGACATTGTCCATCCACACTCTCCCTGCCCAGGACAGAACAAGGCGGCCTAAAAATTTGGTTACGACTTCAGGCAATGGTCGCTTCCGATTCAGCAGCACATACGGCTTACACTTCGTGCCATCCGCGCGTGCACACAACATTACGGTGATATGAACCTTGTCATGGCCAAGCATCTGCACAGTTACGTCCCTAGCTCCACGACTCTCGATGCAGCGTTTACCGATGGGGTCGACCCACACAGCGGTCTCGTCACAGGCAAAGATGTTTCCCGACTGATAGCTGTGTTGTCGGCGCAGCTCCCGGAGGTACAAGACAAAATTGACAATTTTGTCGATTGAATCTGCTGGCGGTTTCTGACATGTCGTTGTCGTCGCACGCAGAGTCAGCTTATGACGACGCAGAAACTTTTCCAGCCACCCAATACTAGCTCGGAATTCTCCACAGTCTGGTAAGTCCTTCGCTATTTTCTTTGCTTGGAGTCGAATGAGGCGTCGAGAAACAAACTGACGCTGTTCACGCTTTTCGTGAACCCAATCCCGAACGCGATCATTCACCATCTTGAATCGAAGTGTCCGGCCACCACCATGTACTCGTTTACTGCTGCCAGATTTCGCAGCTGATTCGAGTTTCACCTTCGCCTTTCGCCATTCTTGTATCTGCTTTCTATTCACACCGAACTTTTTCGCTGCCGCTGAATTCGACACTTGCTCCGCAAACTTCACAGCTTCTAATTTCCTTTTCACCGGCACAGAGTTTCTCTTCCTAGTCTTCACAGAGGAAGCAGCTTGTTCATCCATCTCCGACTAACACACTTCGTGGCTACGCACAAGTCAAACTGAAAGGTAAGGAAACGACGATCCAACAAACTTCAGTTACCCGGTAGTTCCTTCTTTTATCAAGAGTCCTTGAACGGTTCATGTACTGACCTGTACTCTGTTCCTGCAAATGAACGCATTTGAACACTGTACACACTCGTAGTACAGTGAAGTAGATGCGCTGCGTACGCGCGTGCAGTTTCATGACGTCATCATGACTGCGCATGATCCGAAACCCACTCCAGTACAAGCGCTGCGCTTATGATAGAGACTGCGCTAATAAATTTTCAATAGGCACTCACAGTGTGCTAGTATTAGAGACTGCGCTAGTAATGGAGACCTGCGCTTATAATAGAGAATATACGGTATTGCACAAGAGTGCATGCCCTGTAGGTAGGTGTCGAATGTTCCGGTGTACATGTAGCGACATACCGTTTAGCCACGGAATTCTGTACATGCGAGTGCTATTCCCGAGTGCTATTCCCGAGTGCTTAGCCTGAGTGCTCAGCTCGGGTTGTAAGCCCGAGTGCTTTGGAGCAGCAGTAACCCAATGCTCACCTGGTCCAATCAATGGCGGTAGTGGAGGCTGGGTTGTAACTAACACTGGTGTAGACGTGGCCTCCGTCAGTTGTGCTAAACAGAAGTAGCACGCACAGTTGACAACAAAACACAAAGACCATTGTGCTGGGCGTAGATGACTTCACCCACCAAGAAGCAATGATCCATGAAACCAATCCCAGGAAGAAAGTTCTAACTAAGCGGTATAGTGGAAGAAAGCCGTATTCAAATTATCACAATTCCACCTATACCATGCTCTCATCACAGGATTTATACACATTCAGTGTGCGCACACAAACACACACACACACACACACACACACACACACACACACACACACACACACCAGCAACACCAACAACAAGAAACATGACTTACGTGGTAGTGTGTTAGCCTCTGTCACGGTGAACTTGCCACTGTCCTCTAGAGACACAGCCTCACCAGAAAACACGCCATACAGCTCATAATCATACGTTCCAACGGGTAGCATAAATGACATCATTGATGTGTCAGGACGAATGCTATCCGATGCTATACTCCATGCTTGTGTGCCTTCGCGACGGTAGCGGATGCGATAGAATTGGAACGGCGCGCCGGAAATCCTCCACATGAAGGTATGTGGGAATATACCAATGGTCATCGGACTGGACGGCAAAGGAAGCCCAAGGTCTCCTGCTCCAATCTGAACTTGCTGACTAAACACATTGGCAAGAATGCGGAATTCATGCATGCCCGGGGATAGCAATGTGATTTGAGTTTCAGTTGTAGTCGGCCTCAGATGGTTAACACCAACTTGCCATTCTCCAAACTGTCCGCTGGGCAAGGCAGTGCGATAGTCCACAGTGAGGTGTTCTACTGATTGGAGAGCAGTTGCTGGTGGCTGCAGCCATCTAAGAGTGACAGGAACGGGCTGAGGAGCAGCTGTGGTTGGTGCTGCAGAGTCACTTGTGATTACTTCTGTTGTTGGTTGCTGAGGACTTGTGGACGCTAATTAACAGGGACGAACCAAACACACAGAAAACATTGACCAGAAAATGAGTGAATGAATCTTTGCCATTCTCTGGTTTTGTCACACAACAGGTGACACATGAGATGACAATAAGCGAAAGTGATCTCCTTGCATCAGAAGATCATTTTCCAAACTACATTCAATTAACGGTCCACTAGTTTGAGGGAAAGGTGTGTTTATATCGTTGCCAGGCCAATGAGTAGTTCTACCAAATGTGAAAGGTTTAAACTGTGAATGTGCAAGGGTCAATAACGCAAACATTCAACCTGAACTTGAACATGTATAAGACTTTGAAGATGATGTGCGCATCTAAGTAAGCAGCTGAAAATGGTGAACATTTTTCTTACTCAACAATGTCACCAAAAATCAAAAGGATGGCAACCATTCGGAAAGAATTATCAAGCTGCAGCAGAGTGTGGGTATGAGCGATGGAACATACCTTCGGACATTCTAACTGTCACCATGCCGGTGGCCAGTGCTTGGGGTCCACGTGCCAGTTGACCGACCACACGGTACTGGTAGAAGCCAACACGAGGCAGCCGCAATGTATACATAGTGGCAGTGGCTGGCACATTGTTGGAGGCGGTTTGCCAGCCACCGTACTCTCCACCGCCGAGATCCTCTCTGTACTGGATGATGTAGAACTGCAGCAACGGACGGATTGTCTCCAAAGGCTGGGGCCAGCTGATGTCCACGGAATAGGGAAAGTCTGTGTGTCGTGGTGAAACCATGGAACAAGAGTACACACATACAATGTAGGTGTGTTTATCGGGTTTTACTTGACTACAACAGACACAGTCAAAAGAATGAAGGAGGCATTTTTAGGGGCATGTATATGTACTTATTCTATACAGACTTTTTTACGGTAATAGCACATATCGATTCACCAAAGAACCACTGCACTACATCCTGTCTCCATCCGCAGCTGACAAAAGTTCTACTACCAACCCCACCCTGTTGCATAAAAGGATGGTGAGAGACAAAGAATGGAGATATGGGAGCAGCAGCGTGAAGAAGCTCAAACGGCCAGGATCTGTCAATCGCATACTAGACAGCAATGAGAGAACAAAGGTAACTGTGGAGCTCCCCGGGCATGCCAACTTCATGCAATGTACCAACGCAACGTTGTCATTCATCCTCAATGCCAGTGCACATTCCACGCCCGGTTATTTGTAAGCATAAGATAGCGACTGACCTATAGAGCCACTTGGTATGCCAACCTGCGTCAGAGAAGTGGCCAGGAGAGCGGCATAACCAGGGAAATGACCGATCAGGCGATACTCATAAGCACCAGCCATGGGAAAGTAGATCAGAGCTGAACCGCGGTCCGGCAACACATTCTGTGCACCATACGTCCAGGCCCCATACTGGCCAGCCCCAAATGACTGCCGATATTCAATGGAGTAATACTCTAAGCCGGGTGCGCCTGATGATTGCCACTCAATTAGGGCACGGTAAGGAGTGTTTGTTACAGCAGCTGCACAAAATAGGTGGAAAAAAAAGAGTCAAAGGCACTTGCAGAAGAAGCAACAGCAACAGAAATAGCTACAAACATGGTCTCCATCTCAAAATCCAGGCAGTCTGAGGCGCACTATCGCTCGCTGAAATCATACACATGTTCATCTACATACTAGCTGCTTCTTCACACACATCAAGAGCCACAGACGGACATTCACATCGACTTCACATGCATTACATGCAGGGTTTTAATTCAGTTCACAATCACTATGCCATGTGCCAATAATACAAACGTGAACGCGCACGCACACACATACACACACACACACACACACGAATACGCGAGGCAGGAAATTGTAACCAGCAGTTGTGGGAAGAAGTCTAGAGGAGACTGATAAGAAGAACACATACGTTCAACTCGAACAGTGAAGAATCCAGTGTCCACGCTCTGCTGAGAGCCGTCAAACTGGCCTAAAATCTGGTAGTTGTAGGTGCCCGGGGCTGGCACTGTGATGTTGTACGCCGATGCACTGACTGGGATGGAGTGGCTCAGTCGGGTGAAAGACCCGAACGTACCGGATATCACAATGCGATACTCCATAATGTAGTAGAGTATACGCGACACAAGGGCCGACGGTGTAGTCCACCGTCCGCTGACCGGGTACGAGGGCGATGTGTACAGGCTGGCCGCTGAGTTAGCATAGAACACAGGCATAGATTGAAACACAATTGAGAAACGTTGTAAAATAACGGAACTGGTTCGGATGTGCAGCGCTATGGGAATGGGTGTGTCCGCCCGAATTCCTTTCAGAGATGAAGCTGCAGGAAGTCTCAGCCCTTCTTCAGACAATTGAGAAAAGCGTAATTACAGAATTAATGGGATCCTCACACTACTAGGTAGATGGAGAGCATCATTTCTGCCTCAGCCGCATACTATCAACACATCATAATCCTAGCATTAGAGACGGAGCCTAATGGTAGGCGTCAGAAGATAACTCGGATGCAAATTTTCCACGCCAAGTTCCAAGGTCCAAGTACTTTAAATATACTTCCTCCGGAAATAAAAAAAATTGTGACTTTTTTGCACTAATTTTCGCTGCTGTCGTGTCGTTCTTTCTCTGGCTCTGTCAGCCTGAAACACCACTAGGTGACACTTTGGAATCGTAGGAAGGCAGCATGATTTACATCCTGGAACGCCAACAGTCATCGCAAGGCAAGGGTGTCGAGGTGTACACCAAGCGAAGCGAAGATGTTTTGCATTTTAGCCATCACGCACATTGCCAACAAAGGAACTGCTCACTTCTCGTCGTTGCCAGCTATTGGTTCAGAACGAGAGAGAGAGAGCAGGGAGCAATGGCACCGAGGAGCAAGAAGAGTGTCAAAGTGATAGCAGCTAGCGCTTTGAAATCTGTGGTCAGGGACGCGAAGAAGCTACTCCGTGACATGCGAGACCGCGTCGATCGACCTGCCACTTTGGGCGGTTCCAGCGGTGATGAATCGAGCAATGGCAACTCGACTGAGACTCTATTCCCATCAATCGATCTTGTATGTATTGTACACATATCCATGGAGCGTGTTGACGTGTTCCTCTTCCAATAGAACACTTTTATTGAGAACAGTAACTCCTTGAAAAGTCATGTAAAAAAGTCACGAAGTGTTCGTTTCCGGAGGAAGTACCTCTGCTAAAAGAGGAGAGAAGTCTAGAAGGAAACAAGATAGAGAGAGACACACAGGGTAAACGAGATGTACAATAGCATCAAACTAACCTTGTACTGTTGCTTCTCCCAGCGACACTGTGCTGGAGCTACCGTTGGCCGTCTGGCCTGTGATACGATACTGGAATGTGCCGGGCTGGGGCACGGTAATACGGCGTGTACCGTTGCTGGACACCGACGCGGGACTACCATCAACCCTCCAAGATGACCATTGACCAGTGGATGCCCGTGAACGATACTCAAACTGCAGCGAGACCAGCCGCTGTGTGGCGGCTTCGTCCAACTGCCACGTTACATCAAAAGAATAGCTTGCTCCGGGGGGTCCGGCTGGACCAGGCGGTCCAGAACTGCGAACTGCAAACAAAAGAATAGCATGGAAATTTGAAAGGGAAAAAAACTACCAAAAGAGTAAATATTTCCTGAAATAGATAGCTAGCATTGATCTAGAAGTGTTTTGCACTCAAACTTGTACACGCAAGTGGACACAAATAGTCAAGTATACACGAGAGTACATACCCCCCCCCCAGAGTGTGCAACTCCACAATCAGTGCTGTGCCAACATAATTCCAAGTTGACGTTAAGTTTATGATGCAATAATGTACACGTATCATCAGACATATCCTGGACCAGTGGTGGACAAGTCTACATTTGATCCAGTATATCATCTTGTACAAACTAGTACAAGCAAATAAGTGTGATGCGATGCTACCCTGTACGGACGCCGAAAATCTGAATCATAAAATGACATCAACTCGAAATTCTGTCGTGACAGTACTTGTACAACATTCGGGAGTTACACCCTTTGGGAGGGAGTATGTACTCTGGGGGAGGGGAGTATGTACTCTGGGGGAGGGGAGTATGTACTCTGGGGGAGGGGAGTATGTACTCTGGGGGAGGGGAGTATGTACTCTGGGGGAGGGGAGTATGTACTCTGGGGGAGGGGAGTATGTACTCTGGGGGGGGGGGGGGGGGAGTATGTACTCTGGGGGAGGGGAGTATGTACTCTGGGGGAGGGGAGTATGTACTCTGGGGGAGGGGAGTATGTACTCTGGGGGGGGGGGGGATGTAGTATGGGGAGGAGAGTATGTACTCTGGGGCGGGGATTACCGTATATTCTCTATTATAAGCGCCGTGCTTATATTTTTTCAACACTCCTCTACCCCGTGCTTATATTGGAGACCGTGCTTATATATTTTTTCAACCAATACATCCGTACAGAGCAAGAAGAAATACATGCTAGATATCATGCATCCCGCATTGATTTCCACCAAGACCGTGCTAATATTAGAGACCGTGCTTATAATGTTTCGAAAGGTGCTCACAGTGTGCTAGTATTAGAGACTGTGCTAGTAATGGAGACATGTGCTTATAATAGAGAATATACGGTATGTACTCTGGGTATGCATGAAGTGTATTGGTTGTTACCTGTGAGGCGGGCGCTGGTGATGATGGGTTGGCCTTCAAAGTTTCCACTACACACGTACACACCGGTGTCTGTCACTTGCACATCGCTGATGACCAGCATCCTGCCTCCCATAGCCAGGTGGTACTGGCCGGATGGTTTGGGAGACCACTCAATCTCCGTTGACTGCGATGGCGGATTAACATTGCACGTGAAGGACGCCGTCTCACCAGGTTGCAGTATAACATTCGGAGGATCAATGCTCAGTTGAACCACTACAAACCGAATTCAAAACAAAACACATCAATTTTTTATAGCAGATTTAATAGACCACATTACCAAGTGACAAGAAGCCGGCAAGCAACAATCAATTCCAAAAGGGAAATAATGATAATACACAGCTTACTGCATTAGATGCACACAAAAAGGTTCAGAAGAGGGACAATGGGCATGGTACCACATCCATAGTGCAATCTACTCAAGAGACAAACGTTGTAGCAAGAGTAGACTTTCAAATATAAACTTTGGGTACTGGCATGACCACGCGCCTCATACATACGTACACTCACGCACGCACACGTACACTCACGCTCACGCACACACACGCACACACACACACACACACGCACACACACACACACACACACACACACACACACACACACACACACACCTCACACATGCCCATCGCGGAAGCGATGATAGCGAACAGCTATGTTAGACATAGCAACTTGTGCTGGGATTACACCATTCAACAGCTTGCAATGCTGATGAATTGACCGCCACTATTTTTAGCCTGGTATCCACCACACAGCTGTTTGAAGTGACTTTTTCTGGCCAGTGAATCCCTATTTTTCATTTTTCATTTTTCCATATAATTCTTTATTTTTTTATATTTATTTTTTTACACACACACACCACACCACATACTCCGGCATACACTGGCTGTTGGTAACCACCCAGGAGAATGAAAGAAAAGTCAGGAAGAGTCCGAGAAAGAGAAGAAAGACGCGTGCGACCATAATCGTCGGGAATTGAACCCGCAACCTCTCGATTGGAAATCGACTGCACATACCACTGCACCATATGGGACACACACACACACACACACACACACACACACACACACACACACACACGCGCGCGCGCGCGCACGCATGCACACACCAACGAAATTCACCCAACATCTACTCTACCCCACACAGACTTGCAACTTATCTTGCTTACAAGTAGGAGCTGCAGTTTGTGAGTCACCAACAGACTGGCCCGGCACTGTAGTAGTAGTAGTAGTAGTAGTAGTAGTAGTAGTAGTAGTAGTAGTAGTAGTAGTAGTAGTAGTAGCAGACAAAACACAATTGAAACAGGTAATTATAACAGAGTAGAAAAATCTACAACAAATACTTAGAGGCAGTGCGCCTTAGCCTGCAATAGTGCTCAAACGCCTGGAATGGGCAGAGCGTAGTACACAAGAGGTACACAAAAGGAAGTAACCTAGGGCTGTTTTCGTTGTTACTCAGAGTTTCATGGTAAAAACCAATCATCAGACGACAGCAAATACTTATCACAACCTAGGACAAAGTGGGACAGAGCGTTGTTTTTGTCTAGCCATGCATCAAGAATTATCTGGCAATGATGATGAATTTAAAAAACGGGAATTGGCATATCACAATAGCAAGTTAGCAACAATGACCATCTGCATTGAAATTCAGCCGACGCCACCCGATACGTTATCATGGCGTGGAACAAAACCAGCCTTGGTACGAGTATAGCACTGGTTGTTGTGCAGTGCTGGCAGTGGACTGCTTAGGGTCAGGCCTCGTAATGTCTCGCTGTACCGTCCGAAAAAGTATCCATAGGGACCCATACGTGTCCGAACTGTTCCCACCAAGCAGCACACAACTACATACATCAACAACAAAAATTGAGAAGTGAGCGTATGCAGTGAACTACCAACCTGAGCTCGTGAAGACCTGTCCACTGGCCAGTACAGCAGAGACGCGCACCGCCGTGTCGGACGTGTCCGGTCGTACAAACGTCAGCACGGAGACACGCTCGTTGACGCTGGTGAAAATGACCGACTTGTTGCTCAGAGCAGCACCGCCACCACCAGGAGGTGACCAGGCTATGGAGCTCACCGCAATGTTCTCCGGTGTTACCTGAGCAAAGAATGTGATGCTGCCATCGGGGCTGCGTGATGCTGAAATGCCTAGCCGAGCTGCAACAGTACAACAGAGTAGAAAGCACCACAACACAACGATCAGTTGAAGGTACAATTTAGAAATAATGATCAGAGTGTCAAGGTGAGTGTGAAGGCTGGCCTCAAGCAAAAGTCCCTGGTTCAAGTCCTGGTGGCGACAGTCGATATTTTCTTCAGACTTTTCCCTTTTCCATTCCCTCAACCTACATGTATTAGAGTGTGAAGGGTGTTCAATTTTGCATCACGATAATTTTCCACAACTATACACCAGAAATCCTAGCCAGACAATCCAAGCACACAAAGAACATAGGACAAAGGACAAGAGAGAAGTAGCGGAAAGACACCAAAGTAGAACTAACCCTGCGAGGAAGAATTTATCCGGGTTGAGCCTGTAGCACCAAGCAAACACATGCACGCATGCGTGCGCGCGCAAACACGCACACACACACACACACACACACACACACACACACACACACACACACACAAGAACATACATGCACACTCATTCACTCACCAAGTTCTAAAATACGAGCAAAGCCTAGAGAGAGAGCCCAAAAATGGAATACTTCCCATGCCTCCAAGAAACGTGGTGTGCTCACAACAGCAAGAAGAGCGATAGAGAGCCTAAAATACATTAAGATAGGTACAAAGCACTTACTATCCAGGTCAGAGCTCTGTGATATAGCTGCCACACCAAGCGTACTAAGCTCCATGTGAAAATCAGCAGCTCGCTCTACAATCACCTTGGTCAAGTTGGCTGCTGACATTGCTAGGCGCTTTTCCCGATCTAGAACTAGCACTGTCAGCTTTTGCCTACAGCAAGAATAAGCAGAGCGACGCACAACAACAACAACAACAACAACAACAACAACAACAACAACAACAACAACAACAACAACAACAACAACAACAACAACAACAACAACAACAACAACAACAACAACAACAACAACAACAACAACAACAACAACAACAACAACAACAACAACAACAACAACAACAACAACAACAACAACAACAACAACAACAACAACAACAACAACAACAACAACAATTACTCTTATTGGCCACAGGCCATCGTGAGAATAAAAGATTTCAAACAACAACAAACAACAACAACAGCAGCAAACAGCAGCAGCAGTAACAAGAAGCAAACAGCATGTCTAGTGTCAAACGCACAGAATTTCATATCTAACATGGCCTTGACACCAGATCAATTCAATACGACATGTCTTGTCGATCTTATTACGGAGGTTCGGCACACTGAACTTTTGTTGGTTTTTGGGACGTCGGCAGAGGCAGCATCAGCCACAACAAAAGCCACAACAAAAGCCACAACAGCATCAGCCACAAGGTCGCACGCAGACAGATATCACATCGGAAGAGAGTGTCCCCGGTTTCATCTACATGAGATGGGCATGCCCCATGGCCCTCCCGGCCAACAGCATCAGGAGGATAATAGATCATCAGTCGCGGTGGATATATCATTTGCATCTGTCATCACATGGGCACATCAATACAGACACGTTGGTGCTCATAATTGCCGTGCTGAGTACTCCACTGTTCATTGCTACCTGCTCGGTTATGGTCTCATGTTTCCGCATCCCAGGTCGTCATTGTGGAGCCATATTCCTTGGTCCCAACGGTCCCCATAGTGCATATGCAGTTTATCAAGAATGTACATCTGGCATCAACGAGTAAGCCGCTCATAGAATTGCCCACTACAGAGGTGATGGCAGATGCTATTCGGATTTCAAACAGAAGCTGTTGCTCTCGGAAACGTGTGTCGGCGCAGACGTCTCCCTCATACAGCTACAGATCATTGGTGCCTTGGTCAAGGAAGACGGTATAGCTATTAGAGATGCTGACAAAAACGTGGTCACTGCTATCCTGAACACCAATAATGAGCTCTCAGTAAAAGCCATGAGTTATCACACACTCCTGCACCGTCGGAAGCCCACATCTGGCGAGATTAGTTACCATTTCTCGCTTGCCTCCTGTGCGTTTGTTGCTTATGGTGTTAATGTTTGTATTCAATTTGTTTTGTCCACGCTTTTTTTGGCTTGTTTCAAGAACACAGCCCCATGCTGTGTGATCAGTTGTGTTGAGTAAAAGCCACTTGGCAACTTGAGGACAAAAGCAGCTACAGGTATTATTGGTTCGTGTCCCCCCGATATGTTATGCCTCGGAATGCCTTTTCTCTGCACAGTCCTCACTGCCTGTATTAGCAGAGCGCTTCGCACAAGAGCAAGAACAACCTGAGGACGAACTGAGCTGCAACTTAAAAAGGCTCGTGCATAGAACAGTAATCAGGCGGTAGTAGTGATTGATACCAGGCTGTGCTATACATACAGGTATATAGCACAGGATGTGAAGAAACTCGACGATGTGCATGAGTGTGAGTTTAGCTAACAATTAGTCATCATCGGGAGCCTCTCTTACGAGCAAAATAAACAAATGAACATACACATATAATGTACCGTATTTTCCGGAGTATATGCCGCACTGGAGCATAAGCCGCACCCCCCCCCCCCCCCCCCCCCCATTTCTTGCCAAGAAATACAGGCATCTATCCTATTTATCACCGTTAATTTGATCATCGGAGTATGAGCCACCCCCTTCCCCCCCCCCCCCCCTTTTGGGTGAATTTCGAGTGTTCAAAAGGTGGCTTATACTCCGGAAAATACGGTAGTGCAAATGTAGTGTAACCCTTATCATACAGTACTGTGCCTACAAAAACCTGCACAGTGACTGCCTGCTTCACCATACACCTACAGGCAAGCAATCCGTTCCCTGCATGATCTCCATGTTTCTCCATTCCCACCCTTTCATCCATCTCAGCGCTACTGTGACCTGCAAAAACTTCTTCAGTGGTATTTCCAGTTGGCACGCAACACGTCTCTGCTCTTCTTCTGCTTGCACTGTACTGTATCTGCTAGCTGCACTGCTGCATGCTGGCAGCCACACTATCCTGCCTCACACCCCTACACAGCCTTCAGTTACTTCACACCTCTATAGGTACTAGTACTGTATAGATACCAGTCCCTAGTGAGTGCACCATGCATGCAGCTGAAATAGTCCTCAGCTAGTTCGCCTTCCATTTGTGGTGAAAAACAGACGCCCAGAGCTAAAAATATAGTGCTAATGGAGGGTGACTTCATTAGCCTACTCGAACTCAACGCATAAGAGGTGAATTTCCAGAAACGCTGTGTAATGAGCAGTTGTTGCGCTATATTGCACGATTGTTTCCTTTCTTCACACTTACACCTTCTCTCGTCATTCATTCTGTGTATGAGGTTACACTTTTACCGATATTGTTTCTGGCTACTTTTTTTGCGCTGTTTCTTTCATCTCTCTGCTTTTTAAATCCATTGTTCTTGTTCCTTGTTCCTTTTTGCTCGTATTCCACCACCTGCACCTGATGAGAAGCATAAAAAAATTGCTCGTGAGGGACTCGAAGTTTGTTCTTTTCCTCTACAGTGTGATCGCATGTTTGTCCCCGAGAAAAATACATTGTATTAATGAGCAGGAAGTGGTACTTTCTTTTCAGGCTTGACAAGTGGAACCATGAGTTCCGGAAAGCGGTCATGAGTCAGTCAAATGTTACTAATTTCGGCAAGAAGCGCGAGCTGAACGTTGGAGGCAGCCAATTTGAAATAAGGTGCAGTACAGAAAATATCTAGTTTTCATGTTTATTGTAGTTTCGCAGTTTGCGTAAGTTAATACAATGAAACCTAAGCTGACTACTCACGGGACCCCGAAATGCGGTCCCCGTGTAAGGGTGGGTGCCCTTAATCGGGTCATGTTAGTGGCAGTGGTGTCCTGGATTATGTGGTCCTCTAGGACAGGCGGGCGCCTTGCCAGGTTTACTCCTGGCCTATCGTACAATGTGACGATGGCACCGGATGAGAATCACACGCTAACAGCATCATAACTCATCCTTACGTTGAAAGGGAAGATTACACGAGCACTGATTTAATTTCAATATTAAATCTTGTCTCCTCGTCAGCCATTCAACAACCTAAAAGCTATCTTGGATCTGTACAGAAGTAGCGGCATTCACTAGTGACATTCACTCTAAACATTCGCATACTAATAGGCCATACTTACTCTCCAGCAAGGGAGGAGGCTGTAGATATATCTTCAATAGTGACGATGTAGGACTCAATACCCAGTATGGACTCCAGGGCCAGCATAACCTGCTGTGCCAGGGCATGCCTCTGTCCAGGGTGATACGAAACCGCCCACAGTATGGACTCGGCACCTAACACACACACACACACACGCACACACACACACACACACACACACACACACACACACACACGCGCACACACACACACACACACACACACACACACACACATACATACACACACACACACACACACACACACACACACACACAAATATGCACACACATACACATACACGCGCGTGCGCGCAACATCGACCACAACAATGACTCCAGAACAACATCGAGTGGGAAAGAACAAAACTGCGGAAATGTCAGTCAAGGGTGGAGAGACCAGGATTGAGGAACAAGACGAGAACTCCAAAATCACCATAAAACCTCTCTCTTCTTCTCAGATTAAACTCGGATGGAGAGCCAAGAATTAAACTTAAAAAAGAGAGGACCATAATTTTACAAGTACCCTGCTCATAATCGTTAGCGTTGGACAAAATGGATAACTTGTAAAATCTATCTCTTCTTCTCAGTTTTATTACAAACTATAAACTGAGTACAATACTAGTACATGATGTCAGACAGGAGGCCGCGGCAAGTCGTAACAAGGAGCAAACACGTACTCCCGGTGCAGCACATGCACACTGAACTAACAATACAGTATGTACCTTCCAACTACCATCTATCCATCTATGTAGTCTTTACTGGCACTACGTGAGTACGTCCTCTGGCTATTCTTGAGATTGAAGAAACGTGAGGGAAATGAGCCCATCGTGGAGGGAAGCTACAACCACCTTATCAACACACCACGTAAACATCGTTTTTTTTTACTGCACTACCCCTGATCATGTGTAAGCAGATGCAGCGCGAAGAGCAAGACAAAGAATGGCCAATTTACTAGGTTAGGTGGAGGAACAAGAACACACGACTGCAACGGTTACGGAGCTGGAAAATAGTTTCACTGGCACACAATTTTCTTCAAAACAAAAAGAGTGAAAGTTCTCCCTTTTAGCTTTTTCACCGCTTGCCATGCGTCCTCCCTCTCAAGGGCAGGCACTCAGGTGATTGACCATTGTTGCAATAGTTAAAAACAGGAATGAAAGCACCCTGTCGCATTCGGCAACTATACCAGGTGTGGACACACAGTCGACAACATGAGAATTAGAAACTGAGCAACATCCATTTTCAGGACAGCGTTTGCAAACGCAAAGTGCAACGTGGAAAAGGGAAACATTACGTGCAAACATCGAAAGCAAAACTCACCACTGCCAACGCCAGCATCCTCATCATCCACTGGTGGAGATACAGTATTCACCACCTGAAAGAAGCAAAGGCAAGTATTTCCTTCGGGTATTCTTGCAATGCAAGTCCAAGAGCACCTTGAACAAGATCATGATGCAGCAAAAGCAAGCTACATGTAGCAATGCAGTTTGAATCTCCCGCAAAACGGCGGATCCACGTGGAGGGGAATGACGTGAGGCTACGTCATGCATGCTACAGGGCCGGATTTCAGTGCAGAACTGTAGTCTACAAAATTAATGTATTACATTTTACATTTTAAGAGACCTGATCTATCATTCGATGGTGCCAAGTCAGGGAGTCGTACCGGTATACCATGATACCCACGACTCCCTGTGCCAGGTCCGGTAGGCATTGGCGGATAATGCTCGAAAAGGTGCCAGATTCTGCTCGAAAAGCAGTGAAATTGACAGAACCACACAAACCTTATGGCGGGCAATTCCTCGAATTCTGCTCCATTTCTTTATCCACATACCAAACATGCATGAAACTTACCAGAAAAGTACCCGGAATTCTGCCAATTTTTCTGCCGGCATTATCCCGGCGGCAAAGGCCTAACATGTACCGAGTCTGTCCAATTCCCGAGGAGGTTTTTAATGGTTATAGGGGGTGGACCTGTGTGGGACCAAGAGAACTTGCGGTAATGCGTGGCGACAAACTCGGACATTGAGTCCGACGATCACTGATCGATCAGTGGACCTTTCTTCCCGCACTATGGAGGCAAAAGATGTTATGGTCACGGCGGGTGAGTCAGCGGAACCGCATATGAGCGCTATCATGGTACATGTACATGTATACAGCCGTGTGAATAAGCGGAACCACTCATGAGCGATATCATGTACACAGCGCCGGAGAGTCGGCTAGTGCATGAATGTACATATACAATGTAGATTGCACCTCACGGTGCCATGCCTTTGCCAAAGCGTATAACCTTTTACGACAAGGTGTTCTGACTAAAATGACTGCGGCTGCTCGCCTGGATTTGTAGCCTGGAGGGTTGCCCACATCTAAATCTGCTTGGGCATCTGTTGGATTACAGCCCCCCCCCCCCCGACCAAGTCAGAGTACTTCAAAAGAAGTAGTAGACTAGTAGTAGCAAGAGTCCATCCACTGTTTACTGCACTCTTGGTAGTACGAGTGTTTGTTGTTTTACTGGAGCAATCCGGGGCCCTACATACCTAATGTCTTGTTACGGGGTACTACCCTAGGTGATCACGTAAGATGCTAATAAATTGGTGGCAAAGGAAGCTGCCTGGCGACATTCAGGTGCCGGAAGAGAGTTCCATCTGTCTGCAGCCAGGTAGGTATCAGTATCAAACGGCCCGGCAGATACGTGTAGCCTGGAAAGTAGGCTGCCAAGTCATACTATCACCATACGGTACAAGCGTGACTTGTAATGGCACCCAGTGGGTACAACCAACCATGTACATGTACATGTAGGCCGGTCTACATGCAAGGTACCCTGTAAGAAAGCCTTAGGCCTGTGGGGATTGCCCTATCAAAATTTGATAATAATAATTTTGATGCATGCAGCTAGAATTCCATATTCAACCTAGTAGACTATTGTATGCATGATCTATAAGACACATACAGTACAACGTTCTAGTGAAAATACGAAAACCATGAACGTGCCCATGCATGCATGTACTCATGATCAGGAGTTGAAGGGCAACTGTGAGATTTGAAAGTTGTCATAGTAACCCTACCATCCTGGAGTGTGATCTGAACACAAAGTCACAAGTCAATGTCTATGGCTCAGAGACATGCTATGACCTGTGGCTGCAACCCATTACAACTTCAAACTGAGTTGATCAGCCCAGCACTGACAATTGCAGGGGCATTCTTGCAGGACTCCAGGAGGACAGGACCACAGAAGTACTTGTGTAGCCTGGAGGACTTGAAGTTTACACTTTTTGGAATTTTATACCAACAATACATGTCACCCCCCCCCCCCCCCCCTTTGCATACCCATTACAGCACTTGCAATCAGTCATCATCCCACTCCATCTACCCAGCCTGAATGTACTTTGAAGTATCAGTAATAATTGTAGCACATTTCCTACGTGTCCGCTAGTATGTGAACATCTCCAAGGGAGCAGACGATGAAATGTGAGTGTAAAGAAACGAAAGATGGCATGCAGCCCCGCTCTAGCCGGACTATTGCTTGTACATAATACATGTACATGACATTGTTCATGTTCATGTATTGCTTGTACATGTAGCAATACTACTACCATTACAATTTACATGTACATGCACTGGTAAAAATACTACTTGTAGCGCTATCAATTTCTGTAATGAATGAATGACGGCAACTGTATTGTCTGAATGAGACATTAGTGCAGCAACCAACACGCCCAGCACGACTCAACATGGGACGATAGCAGAATGGCTGTAATGATTTGCTACATTTGCATTTGAGGCGGTGTAGAGGATTTTCACGCAACACATACCTGCGGTGTAGCGTGTTGAACAACACACAGGAGCACTAGGACGAGAGCTGGTCTGTAGGCCCGGCTGGCCAGCCGGCCTAAATCCATCTGCATCTTGTCAAGCGCCTGCAGTAGCGCCTCTACCTTCCTCTTTCTACTCTTGCTGGTCTATAGAATTCCAGTGGACACAGGTGCAAGCTTTCGCGTGAAACAGCAGAACGGAATTCTGGACTGTGTCCGGATCTTGTCGACTTCGTTCGCTGTTCCAAAACAGCAAGCGCACACCATGAAGGCAAAGTCGAATCACGCATTCAAAGATCGGGATTACACCACGGCCACCGAATCTGTCACCTGTCCGTCTGATACCCCGAAGTTCAGACTCTGAACTATGTCTTTGATGTGAGCGACGCGTCACGGCCCACTGGACGAAGCCGCTGTAAATGACTGCACAATACGCCCGTTTACTGACAGCGTAGCCTGCATAAATCTACATCGAAAGACTTCCGACGGCATTTCGGCACGCAGTGTCTATTGGAAACATGGCTAACGGTACATGTAGTAATACCAGTATCAGGGAACGGGAATTTCTTGTTAGTTTCTCGTCGCATCCAGCTATGGAAGCAGCCATGCGCCAGGGTTGGGGATCCAGGCAAAAGATCTGCGCGTTTTAGAAGAAAAAATGTCCGCAGCCAAGTGCATCCGCGGCGTCAATCAACGAACTGCCCCATTCGCAGGGGACGTGCTAGGCAGACTTCACCATAGGTCCATAGCCTCGAGACACCGCAACAGACACTTGTGACTTACGCCGACTGTCAAGACAGCAGGCAGCAGCATGTAGCAGTGCAAGCGTGCACAACATGCTGCACAGCATGCACCAAGTCAAGCCACTTGTTCTAAACGACAAAATGACAGACTGTATCTGATAACAGTGCAACTCAATATGTAACACGTTGTTACCGGTTGAACATAGCCTATCATACATACAAGTCATGTACGTGATGTAGGAGTTAGGGTAATGTCACAGAGCCAGCCTTATTAGCGAGTATTCGGTGAGGTGGGTCGGGATGTATTCAGTCTTTGACTTTCAGTCGAAATGCAGAGTAGCATCACCATGATATTGCCCCTCTTCTGTACCAATGTGTCCCACTGTGTGGCCCTGCCATCACCATCACCATCGCCATGATCACCCATCATATCAACCAGTCTTATGTTATGGCAATCTACCTTGGCGGAAAATGCTCGAAAACCAGTGAAATATTAATTGGCAGACCCATACTCGAATTCTGCTCCTCTTCGTTATTACATGGAAATGTATACCAACCAAGCATGAAGCAATCAAAGTACCAACCTTTTTTTATCTTTGTTGCATTACCCGCCTTGGCCCAAGGATTGGGATACTACTAGTACTTTACTACATCATGCACATGTACATTGTAGACCTACTTTGTCTAACGTTACATGTGCACAGGGCCACAGGAGCGAACAAAGAATACAGGACTGACTGTACAGCAACAAGAAGACAAAGGCAACTCCCTAGAATACTTGTCCTGTCTTTATAAATAACATGTTATTGCATATGTTCTTGGTTTAGTTTTTGGCCTTTTTCGTGCTTTGGAGTTGATAACATTTTCCTCGCTATCAAAAAAAAAAAAAAAAAATACAGAGGGTCAGAACCCAGGCTAACACCCATATGGCCATACGGTCCAGATGGTCGCAAGATCAGGGCTCTACCAACCGTGGATCTGGTGGATGGTTGTAGAACTAGTAAGGACTACTAGTCGGCTAAGGTCACTGTTTCCTTGGTTTCCGAACACGGTGGTCCTCCACCTGGTTAACATTGTACTTTGTCAACCAACAACATGATGAACACAGTCAGTTACGTGTGGTGTGCGTGGTCTGCCTACCACTACTACAACTGTACAAGTCATGACTCCAAACATGCCCCCATGCCATGCCCAGTCTGCGCTGGGGCATTGACACACATAGTCATTGAATACACGTACGATATGGTGCCAGTGAAATGGAATGAATTCCGACGTAAAGCCTGGACGAAGCGAGGACTGCACAGAATGCATCAGCTGATCGCTTGACATGTCCCATCATGGCGATATGCCAGTCAATACTGCCACCGTGACAAGCCACTTGCCAGGCACGTCTGTGAGAAAATGGTTACTGGCAATATAATACTGGTCTGTGCTGGGGACAGTACAGCCTCCAGGTAAGTAAACCGTGGACCCGCACCATTGGCATTGTGCACGCTCAGCATCTAAAATACAATGATTGTAGCATCCACAAGAGAGATTGGAAGCCGTGTCACAACTCTGAGTTTCACGTATTACTACGATCATCAGGCAACTGTTGATTATAGCATCCAATAGTGCAGAATGTGTGTAGGGCCGGGCCAAGAGTACCCTGGGATGACGAAATACAAAATAATACTTTCAATATCAAGATCAATCAGGCCACCTAGGCTAGCGCAGGTGCGCAATCAAGTGTAAGTAAGGTATTGTGTAGTGCAGCTTTTTTTGACACTTTTATCGAGAGTAATAACTAGGCACTGGGGTTAGACGTTAGGCCAGGAGGAAAACTTTGTAGTGTGACCAATATTATTTTAATGTTGTCTGATGGTCGTCTAGTCACTCTACTACTACTACTCTAGTGTGAACGTTTTAGTTTCAGCGAAACCATGGAAACAGCCTACCGAGTACCGTCTCATGTATTCCTGTTTACCGCTCTGCCGCCGCGCCGGTGCATAGCGCACTCTTTCGAGCTGCCCCACCTACATGTGGGGCCTGGGCAGATACCATGGATACTGCTGGCAGGAAATCGGCAGAATTTGGTACTTGTTCTGGTATAATTTCAATTTCATGCATGTTTGGTATGTGGATTTACGAGAAACGGAGCAGATTTGAGAATTGCCCGCCATAAGGTTTGTATGGTTCTGCCAATTTCACTGCTTTTCGAGCAGAATCTGCAAATGTTTCGAGCATTAGCCGCCTAGGGCTATCCCCAGCTGTCCCTGGTTTGTCTGAGGGTAACACACCATCCATACATGCACATGTAGAGTGACTGAGTCAAACTGGACTATCAAATGAACAGGCTCTAGTCTGAAACAAAGAAAAGCAAGACCTGACACCACCCTCCTTTATGAGGGTGGCGTATTCTTGCTTTGCATCACCAAAACAATTACCCCACCCGTCTCATCTCTTATTAATAGGATACTCCCTGTGAATGCTGTGATACATGTAGGTGTCCTTTGTAGAATTGTTTATCTTGAAATGCAATGCCAATGTCTCTATACATCACATTGTGACTGGCTTTATGCGGTTCGTTAATTAAATCGGTAAATCTCCTGCACATGATGTGTGCAGGTTTGGAGGTACTTTCCCACAATCTCATCACTTTCAAACAGCTCTACACTGAGGCTACAGTATTTACTTTGTGTACATGTCTCATGCACCATACCGTTACGGATCGATTGGGAGCTGTAAACTGAGAACCCCATGATTCCAGCAGTGGATGGAAATTGGTAGAACATCGGAAGCAGAGCAAGAACAGCGAAGAAGCAGCTGGCATACATGCATGCATGCATGCATGCACCGTGGGAATAGAGTGGCAAAGAACGAACTGCAATGCCAAACAGCGTAAAGCTATTCAGGATCTCCTCAGTCCCCCCTGTAACCAGCGTGTCATCCCTTAAACAAGGAGCATATTGTTATCATTATTGTTCTGTACATAATCGTGAAGATGTTGGTAGCATTTTCATGTACATTGTTTATCAGCTGAAACGTATGTGTCAGGAAACTGGCGTATAATACTTCAAAGTAGCATGGTATAGAAGGAGAGGGCGAGGGGAGATGTGTATGGTGGTGATATTAGGAGATTATAAGTTCAGATCAAAGTTGTCACTTTCCTTCAGCGATGTGTCGCCCTGTTCCCGGTGCACGCATGCCGGACTGAGAAGCCAGTCCGTGAGAAGCTGCCGCCTGTTTGCCAATGATACCGGCGGACTGTGCGCGAATCTCCTCATCCGTGAATCCGCGCGGGTTCTCAAGAGCGATGGCGCCGCGGCCCGTGTACTCGGGTTCGAATCGCTTGTTCTTGGCGACCAGGCCGAGGGCGTGAAGACACGTGATCACGTTGACGGTGGGTCCCTTCAGTCCTTCATACAGATCGTTTGACTGCAGTGGACAACACAGCAGAGAAATCATCAACGCACGAACGCATCGGCATTACATTACAGCAAACCATGGAACTAACATACACCATGTGCTCATAAGTCTGAGGGACTGAAACTAGTCAATACATTGAACTATACACCATCGACGCAATGCATGGCTTAGCCGCTAGCAGCACCACTTCGCACAAGAGATGAAGATTGAAGTAGCATGCAACTTACAATTACCGCAATGAGTATACACATATCTCGCATTTAACACGTCCAGCACCACAGAGCATGCATAGCACACAGCACCCAGCACACCCTACACAGCACACAGCAGTACCCGCCAGCACTTCGGTCACGCCCGCACCTCTCACACTCTGCCGGTCACCATCCCATGACACCTCTTCCTTTGAGGCTCTTAGTCTTACATACTCCACATCAGCTACCCCACCCCACCTCCAGCCAAGCCACATACAATACACACCCGTAGACTAATTACATGTAACAGTACAGAATAATTGTTTTCTTCCTCTATTCACTAGTTGAGGGAATGGGAAAGGGAAAAGTCTGGAGAGAAAAAAGTTGACAGTGGCCATTCAAGATTCAGTGCTCGAACCAGGGACCTTCGCTTGAGACCAGCGATGCTCTTACCACTGAGCTTGGGTGTACATGTAGCTGTGATCCCAGCACTGCAGAGACCTTCTTCCTGTCCTAAGGCTAACTACATTCCCCATACGTGCTTCGCCTCTCTACTCTTACGCCACTACATGTACTTGCATTGCTTGGGCAAACATGAGTTTGGTTCCTCAGATAAGCATTACATGTATCTTCCTGCGTACTAGTACCATACCATAGTGTGCATCACTGTACCTGGAAAAGATCATTCCTCTTGACACCGTACTTCTCAGCGACCTTCAGGAACTTTCCGATGTTGTCCATGCAGAAGAAGGCCGACTGGTTGGATGAGAACTTCATGCCTGGCTCTCCCTCGGATGCCGAAAGAACGTTGGCCACTCGGCATAGTCTGCTGCCATCCTGCAGCACACGAGTAGGAGAGAAAACAGCATATGAACGTACCACTCAGCCAGCGAAACGTAAACCAGGCGTTCCTATTTCCATGCTAATGGTCACATCGGATGAGATGGCACTACAGAAGCTATAGTAGTCCATACGAAATTCAATGGTCTCATGAGTTTGGAACGAAACGGAATGTAGGACAGTGCTCCAAATCTAAGGCTAGACAATTACCCAAATATATCAGGTGTAGAGAAAGTTGCTTGTGGACGTTGTTCCACAAAACAATTTACCCCGCACCTGGGTACTCGTTCTAGTAATTTCTCTCTCTCTCTTTCCTCTCTCTCTCTCTCCTCTCTCTCTCTCTCTCTCTCTCTCTCTCTCTCTCTCTCTCTCTCTCTCTCTCTCTCTCTCTATCTCTATCTCTCTCTCTCTCTCTCTCTCTCTCTCTCTCTCTCTCTCTCTCTCTCCTCTCTCTCTCCTCTCTCTCTCTCTCTCTCTCTCTCTCTCTCTCTCTCTCTCTCTCTCTCTCTCTCTCTCGCTTTCATTGTGTATATTCCTTACCTTGAGAAATCTATGGATAGTTTGCCAGCCAGCGTCTTCGCACACATCATTAGGGTCATCGAGAAGGGCGTTGATCCAGTCAGTTACAGCTTGCGGTACTCCCTCCTCCTCCAAGTCATCCCACTTCTGCTCCTGTTTCTTCTCGATATCGGCAGCAATGCCAGACTTGCTTGCTCTGTACCCGGACGACATATTGGCTGCTAGCGAAGGAGAGACGAAAAAGAAGAGGTTCCCGTCGACAGAATTTACTACGATGTGAATCCTAGTGGGGAAATTGAAGGGCTTTAGTTGTCGCTGGCAAGCTTTATACCACGGGGCGTTGGTTGGGGCTGCTGCTGCTGCTGCAGCTGCTGTGCCCTACTTCAGCGGCATGACCAGAAGCAACATCAGCTTGGCAGACAAGCTGTAAAAGCAGCAGCAAAACCATTTCAGCGTTGCTCAGTCTCGGTGCTGAGACGGGCTAGGGTAGGAAATTGCCCATACAGTGATGGACAGTGTAGTCATATGAGCTGTCCTAAGCCCCTACTCCACCCGTGCATACCTCTACTACGGCGGAGGATAGGACGTCTTCCGCCCTTGCGCCGGTATCGGTGGAACACACCAGGTCACCCAACTATCATCTATCAGAAGATAGCGACCCACGCATTGTGCATTGTTTTTGTCGTCCCCAGCGTTACAATGTACTAGTAGTTGAAAGCCAATAGTGCTGAATAGCATCGCATGCACTGCCTCTGCAGCTCAGGCTCAGCATTGCTGTCTACAAAACTGCGCGCACGCAGTATTTGCTGTGCAAATCTGCTTCCGCACGCGATTTCGGCGCCGTCTTTCCGTAGGAAATCTCACCGCGCAAAGCCATCATACTAGCCGCGATGGCTGTGGTCAGCGACTGAGTCAGTAGTACAACTGAAAGCACCACTACTCACAGGCAAGCCGCATAGCGAAACTACATGAAGGAGAAGTGCGCTAGTAATAGGAACAGCCACCACCCAGTTTGGGTACCCTCGATGTACTGGCTGCAGTATTCATGTGAATCCCACATGGAACAGGCGCAGTCGGTCATCATGTTATGGTCGCAGATAGGATGTTCCCCGCTCACTGTCCATGGTGTGGGTATGTGAGCACACATTCAAACAACAGCCTATGACTGGCTTTGGCTGGTGTTGTTGAAACAACGAGTCGTAGCTCTAAGGACTAAGCACAATACCACTACGTGTCCAAGTAAAGTTGTACATAAGTCAGCCGCGGTGAAGACGATGCTCTGCGCTTATGATCACTCACACCCATCCTCTTGCTCCTGGAAGAAGACCTTCAAGTGCAAGCGTTGACCGGCTAGCTTTGGTACTGCGTGTACAAGCATAAGAAAACGGCGGGCACTAGATAGCAGAATGATGACAGTGTCACTGTCACGGTGTATGCCCAGAGAAACAGCTCGTACATGTACAGTGTACAAGTCATGCACACGAAGTAGCAGTAACATTAGGTCTGAGGTTTTGCGACAGGTGAAGATTGTGCCGATTGTTTTCGAGCAAGAAACAATTTGAGAGATTGATCATGACTGCGGCACGACGACGGCAGTACATGCACAGTGTCTCCGCGGACTTTGTGTGTGTGTGTGTGTGTGTGCGTGTGTGTGCGTGTGTGTGTGTGTGTGTGTGTCAATTCATCAGCCTTGCAAGCTGTTGAATGGTGTAATCCAGCACAAGTTGCTATGTCTAACATAGCTGTTCGCTATCATCGCTTCCGCGATGGGCAAGTAGAAAAAATGAGGTCTGAGGTGTGTGTGTGCGCGCGTGTGTGTGTGTATGTGTGTGTGTGTGTGAGCGTGGTGTGTGTGTGCGGCGTGCGTGTATGTGTGTGTGTGCGTGTGTATGCATGTGTGTATGTATGTGTGCGCGTGCATGTGTGCGTGTGTATGTGTGTGTGTGTGTGTGTGCGTGGTGTGTGTGTGTGTGTGCGGCGTGCGTGTATGTGTGTGTGTGTGTGTGTATGCATGTGTGTATGTATGTGTGCGCGTGCGTGTGTGCGTGTGTGTGTCAGGGTTATACTTCTAGCTAGAACAAAAGTCAAGGGTGGGGGCCCCGGGGAGGATCATGGGACTCACATTTTTGTGATCTTACCGCCATTTTGGCGAGCAGTCGAGCTCTGTGTGTGCTGAATTGAACTGGCTTGGACGTATCAGTGTGAAGCACGACTACGAAAACTCAACTTATCTACTTTTACCATAAATAGGAGACCGTTAGAAGTAAAAGTGCGTGGGGCAGGGCTGGGCACAATAATAGCGGTGAAACAAACAAAAAAACACTTGATGCCGTGAAAGTTCCTAACATGGTAATACATAGGGCATGTGCAGTGTATCTGCAGTGTATTCTGATGCACGGATCTGCTAAGTGCTAGTGCTTCACGCGGCCCACCCTTTTCTCGAATGGCAATGCATTCTCCATCCGGCTGGGTCCAAAGTTCAACCCGGCTGTCAATACCGTTTCGCAGTCTCCAGACTCTCCACGACCGTACGAGTCTTGCTTCGATTGACAAGCCCCAGGTACAATTGTAGCCCTCATTCCTCAGCTTGCCCTCTCCTCGCTGTACACAGTGCGCAGCTTACCAGTAATGCTTGGTTGCACTTTACATGTGCATTCTGATTCATGTAAAATAATGAATTCACAATCATAGTGACCAGTGTGTAAGATACAGGCTACATGTAACTCCCCCCCCCCCCCTAATGAATAAGGATAATACTTTCTACTACTAATAGTTCACTGTACTACGCGCACTGAGTCACAATGAGTGGCATAGCTACTGCGTGTACATGTTCATCCTGTTTTACAGGTCGATGATCCAGGGTATACAGTAAGTTGTCGTGCGCTTCCAACGCGTTTTATCCGTCACTAGCAATTGACAACATATGGAGCCCCTGACACGGCTAACGAAGTGCGCTGTTCGCGGCTTCTTCGGTCTGCCACTGTGGTCGCGCACGAGCCCGATCTTTCAACAGCTCCGCCTCACCACCCTGGAGGACATTGTTCAACATCAAGCTCCTCATCTTTGTCCATCGTTGCCTGTTCTCTCGAGCTAGCTCCCTCTTCACCAGCTTCTTCCTGAGGGTTACTGGTGACCACACCCGGGGAGCAGCACATCACCTTCTCCAACTTCCAAGTACCAATTTGGCCGGGTCCTGCGTAGCCATTGGCGGACTATGCTCGGCCAATCGTCAAATTATGCTTTTGATTATGCCACAATTATGCCAACAAATATGCTGAATTATGCTGAATTATGCTCGGTTCCACTATGTATTCACGCTGTACATAGAGGATTGAGAAACAACGCATACACACACGGCCATGTTTTGTCTAAACCGAAAGATTATGCCGACCTTACACGTTGGAATCCGTATATTATGCCGGAGCATAATTTTTTGACGAAATCCGAAGATTATGCCCAATATTATGCCGGCATAATCCGCCAAGGGCTATGCACAGTGTGCCAAGGAGTCGTAACTGGGGTATTAAAAAAACAAAAACATCTGCAGGCTTTCTGACAAAGCTGTATTATGCCCCTAAGCATAATTTTTGTCTAAACCGAAAGATTATGCCGACCTTACACGTTGGAATCCGTATATTATGCCGGAGCATAATGTTTTGACGAAATCCCAAGATTATGCCTAATATTATGCCGGCATAATCCGCCAAGGGCTAGTCCTGCGGGTCGAGCGACCATACAGTTCATCGGCGCAGTCCTGTGGAACCAGCTCCCGCCTGACCTCCGTTCCGAGCCCAGCCACCTTCAGTTCTGTGCCCTGCTAAAAGCACATCATGGCCCCCTTTAAATGCTTTTCGGCTAGTGTGTTTCTGTGGTATCGCGGACTAAAGAATAGGAAACGTGTTTCGCAATATTGCATGGTGGTATTTTGTATAGAATTCCCATTCCGTTTTTGCTTTAGTGTAGCCCTGAGGTCGACTCACCTACTGAAGTATTTATTTTCTACCCTTCCTCTCTCCGTATCCCTGCCCCCTCTCCCTTTCTCTCTCATTCCGTCTGTCGTCCACATGACATGTATGAAAGGAGGCGAAACCGCCTGTTTGTGGTGCGACGTTAAAAAAACTTCTACAACAACAGCAACATAACATCGCCATTGTGGTTTCACGGCGTGTCCCTGCTATGGCCTCTCGATCTCGTCCTGCAGGCCTGGCCTATCTAGTACTTCAAGTATCTCTGTAGTGTAGGTTGAGCTTGAGCCGAGTGTTATATTCGCCAGAATATGATCGACAGAGAACTACATGGAGCAAGAGCACAATATATTACAACTATACTTCAGAACGACAAGCAAGGAACTATTCGAAATCAGGAAACGAATAACTGACATAGCTGACAGAGTAGACTACGCGCTCTACTTCAAACACTACGCATAACGTACACATGGCAAAGCAGTTGACAACAGTGTACAAGGCATGCATGTATAATGTGCAGTACACACAGAGCAGCGTATGGCGTACAGATCATGTACAGACAGACTATGGATTCAAACATAACACTCCTCCTCCTTTAGATAAGAAACGCCGTGAGGAATAGAATGTTGTTCATCTAAAACAAAAAAGAACTACTGCGTTGCAACAGGGAACACAGTAAAGGTAAAGCTCACAGAACAATTAACAAAACGGAATGAGCTGTGCTAGAATCATGACAGGACTGTTAGTGTCATCACAATTCTTCAATCAAGCGTTGACGGGGACGATGCTGTCTGGAGGATCGGCGCGGCGACTGTGCTGGCTTAGCCTCAGACGATGTGGATAGGGGTTGAGCTACTTCGATGTCTGCATCGGGCTCAAATGCTGGCTCGACAGCTGGTACAGCGGGAGCGTGTTCTGCTGGTGCACTGACTGGTGCAGGTACGGTAGAAGGCTGGCGGAACTCAACGGCCGGTTGCGGTTGCATTTCAATTTGTTCAGTCTCCTCTTCCCTCTCAGATTCTGCCATACGAAGGTGGTCAGAATGTACATGTCGCGTCTGTTCACCGGTACGAACGATGTACGATAGCGGACCAAGCCGCTCGGCGATAGTTCCGTGAATCCACTTTGGACCATTGCCATTACGAGTGTTGAGTACTGCTACAGCATCACCGGGAGTATAGTCTCTCTTCGTTGATGACGCTGTAGTCTGACGCTGACGCTGGGAACTACTGAAATTGGGCTTCAGCAGGGAGAACTTGACGTTTGGGGATTTCTTGAACACCAAGCTTGCAGGCGTGACTTGTGTTGTTGAATGTGGTGTGTTGCGGTACGCGAACACAAAACGGTGGAGCTGGGTGCCGGCTGACACGTTGTCCGGGCGAGTACGTAGCGCCTTCTTTAACTCTTGGACACACCGTTCTACTTGTCCATTGGACGCTGGATGGTATGGCGGTGTGCACTTATGGCTGATTCCATTCTCCAAACAGAATTGGCGGAACAGGTGCGACGTGAACTGCGGACCATTGTCGCTGACCAGTGTCTTCGGGATGCCGTACGTAGATAAGAACGACAGTAGGCACTCCAGGGTCTGGTGGGTTGTCGTAGAAGACATCTTGTAGACGCTGAGCCATTTTGAATAGGCGTCTACAAGCAGAAAGTAGTGCTGGCCGTCGTGCTCGGCGAAGTCGACATGCACTCTTTCAAAGGGCTCGGAGGGATAGATCCAGGGATGCGGTGCTTCCTTGGGCGGAGCGTTAGCGGTGTCTTGGCACTGACGGCATGACGTGGCTAGATGCTTGATATCATCATCAATGCCTGGCCACCAGAAGAAACTGCGTGCGACGGACTTCATTCGCACAATGCCAAGGTGCACACTGTGCAGCTCCTGCAGCAGCGCGCGGCGAAGTTGCACAGGGATTACGGTACGATGGCCTCTCACCAAACAACCAGACTCAATCGTCAGCTCGTTGCGGCATTGGCGGTAGGCTTGAAGATCGTCGGGGGTGTCGGCGGGCCAACCGAACTGAAGGTACTGCATGATGCGCGAGATAATGGCATCGTCTTTGCTGGCTGCAGCAACATCAGCAGCAGAGACAGGTAGAGACTCACATGGATCACGGGCATGCTGGAGAACGGCGTTCACAACGGTTGCTTCTTGCTGCTCGGACAGCTTCAATGGCAGGCGGGATAAGCAGTCAGCGATGACGTTAGCGGTGCCACTGATATGCTCAATCTGGTACTCATACTCACTGAGAATTACTGCCCAACGCTGTAACCGGGAAACGGCTGTTGCTGGCATGTCGGAGTGCGGTCCAAAGATACGCAGCAGCGGCTTATGGTCAGTGCGGAGTACGAACGGACGACCATACAAATACATGTGAAGACGTTTCACTGCGAACACAATTGCTAGAGCTTCACGCTCGATCTGGCTGTAGTGCGATTCGGCAGAACTCAAAGCTCGGGACACGAAGCACACAGGACGTCGGCTGCCAGTATCATCTTCTTGCAGCAGACAGGCACCGAGGCCATACGGAGAAGCGTCACACTCGACAATGACTTTGCGGTTGATGTCGAAGTGGGCAAGAATGGGTGCATCGGCCATCAGATTCTTGACCTTCTCGAATGACTCTTGACATTCAGACGACCAGTCCCAGGGTGCGTCTTTCACGAGAAGTTGTCGTAGCGGTTGTAGTACATCTGAGATAGATGGCACAAAACGGCTGTAGAACATCACTAAACCGATGAACGACTGCAGAGCTGTCTGGTCTTTCGGTGGTGGTGCGTCGACAATGGCAGCAACCTTGTCGCCATTGGTTTGAATGCCTTCGCCTGAGACAGTGAAACCGAGATAGCGGACCTGGTCAACGCTGAGTACACACTTCTCGAGACGTAGACGTACACCAAATTCGGCAAGTCGCTCCAGTACTTGACGTAGGCGCTCATCGTGCTCGGCTGGGGTTGCTCCGGTGATGAGGATGTCGTCATAGAAACAAACCACACCGGGAATGCCTTGCAGGATCTGATCCATGGTTTGTTGCCAGATTGCCGGGGCACTTGCAACACCAAACGGCAGACGGTTGAATGCATAGAGACCGCGATGCGTGGCAATGACGCAATACTTCTGGCTTGCTTCGGATAGCGGCAGCTGTGCGTATGCCTGGCTGAGATCAAGCGTGCTGAACATTGACCCACCGGCAAGACGTGACAACAGATCATTCGGATTAGGTATTGGATGCTGACGTGGATCGATGTGCCGGTTGATCGTGACCTTGAAGTCGGCACAAAGGCGGATGTCGCCGTTCTTTTTGCTGACTATCACTAGTGGCGAGGCCCACTCAGCTGACTTGACTGGACGTATGATACCTTCACCCTCCAGACGGTCGAGCTCACGCTCCACGGCAGGACGCAGAGCATACGGAACGGGACGAGCTGAACAACAGCGAGGGGTCGCTCCCTCCTTCAAGTGGATCTCAGCTTGGTGGTCCTTGACCGTACCGAGGCCAGTTCCAAATACCGCCGGAAACTCATTCTTGAAGTCAGCCTCTGTGCTCGACACTGAGTTGATGCGGAACAATGATGGCCAGTCGAGACGAAGACGGTGCAACCAGTTACGACCGAGTAGGGGATGGCTACCGCCTTTCACAACCACAATGGTGTCTGTGATGGATTGCTCACCGTACGCTACTTCAACAACCGTCTCTCCTACCACTGGTAGAGAACTGCCATCATAGGTGGTGAGTTGCAGCTGGGACGCCGCAAGCGGAACATCACTCCAGGACTGTTCCCACACGTGTTCAGGCACTAGAGTGACTTTCGCGCCTGTGTCCACTTCCATTCTCAGCGGCCGTTCGTTGACGAACACGGACACAAACAGCGAGTCTGACTCGTTCAGCGGAGACGTGACTTTCCCAATAGCGTAGGACTCATGCTGGACAGGCTTCTGCTGAGATGCTGGTGCGCTGTGTGCTGAAGGTGCACTAACGACTTGATGCGTACCACCTCCTCTTCCTCTCCTTCCAGTCTTGGACGACCTGGATGTCACTGGTTTCCGACACTTGCGCTTGTAGTGACCTTTCTTGTGGCAATTCAGACACTCCTTGCCACGTGCGGGGCAGTTAGCAGATTCCGCTGTGTGATCTGAAAGACCACAGTTGCTACATTCTGCTCCGGGTGGACCACTTGAATGCGTTGGTGTTCTAGTGCCAGTAGTGGAGGATACCAGACGGACAGGAGCTGGAGCACTGCGCGATTGTGACATTCCTCGAGCGCTGAGTTCAGTTGCCTCGAACTGTCTGAACAACTCCAGAGCATCCTTGAGCTTGAGAGTGCCTTGTTTCTCCAGAAACTTTCGGCGTAGACGATCATCGATGCACTTCTCTACAAGCTGATCACACACTTGCTCGTCCTGGTCAGCAAACGAACAGAGCTTTGCTTGTTGAACCAAACGGTTGCCAAACTGAGCTACTGTCTCTGTTTCCATTTGCGCCAATCGGCGGAAAGTATGTCGTTCGAACATTACATTCGGAGTGTACTGAAAGTACGAATCCAACATAGTGACTACTTTGTCGTAAGAATTCTGGACAGAACCATCCGTCGGAGCTGGAGGTTCCGGGAGCGTGTCAAACACGTCCTGTACAGCGGGACCAACAAGATGTAACAGCTTTGCTTTCGACCGTGTCGAATCGGTGATATCCTCTGCAGCAAGGTAGTATTGAAAACTGCGTTTCCACTTCGCCCAGCGAATGGATACATCTTGAGCAGGGCCAGTAGGATCGAACTGAGGTACTGGGCGTTCTGCCATTGCGGATTACAAAAAAACTATCTTCGTCGCCAGTGTTATATTCGCCAGAATATGATCGACAGAGAACTACATGGAGCAAGAGCACAATATATTACAACTATACTTCAGAACGACAAGCAAGGAACTATTCGAAATCAGGAAACGAATAACTGACATAGCTGACAGAGTAGACTACGCGCTCTACTTCAAACACTACGCATAACGTACACATGGCAAAGCAGTTGACAACAGTGTACAAGGCATGCATGTATAATGTGCAGTACACACAGAGCAGCGTATGGCGACAGATCATGTACAGACAGACTATGGATTCAAACATAACACCGAGGGCAACGAACACGAACTACTGGCAGTACTGCGCAAACCGAAGCCACAGAGTTCTACTCAAGCCAAGGGCAGTGGGCATTGACCCCACCATGGTAGCACAAAAAGAACTCTGTGGCTTCGGTGGTACCGGTACCATGGGTAAACTCTACCACTACCACTACAGACAGTACAGTACGTATACCAGGGAGGCGAGTGTGTGTGTGTGGGGGGGGGGGGGGGGGGAGCATTCTCGTGCAAGCTGCGTCATGGCTTGCAATCCTGTCAATCACGTGGTCAGGTGCCAGTAGTCAGATCTACCCTGGATTGTTTTGCTCCCAAGTAAACAAAATCGGGCAAACTGGAGCCGGTTGCAGGGTATTTCTTCAATCAGATATTTTCCTGCAATGAGAAGTGGATGATTCTTTCAGTTCTCTACTATACTCCAATCGGCTGAAGCAAAGAGGACACCGGAAAGAGGGAGAGGGTGTGTTGTGGGCGACTTGGACATGAGGCGTTCGTGGTCTTTGTCTGCGGCACTCAGCAGTTATCTTCTGCTGGTGCTGTATTGCACGGGACCTTCATCAGCGCTGTACCTCAATGGCTTGTTCTCGGATAACGCCATCCTGCAGATTGAGCGAGAGGAAATCACCGCACCGCAGGCGAGGATTTACGGCAGCACGTTCCTGAACGAGACGGTGAAGATAACGGGCACGAACGGATTTCCGTCGCTGCAGGCTAAACCCGTGGCTACACCGGACAGCGCACCCGATGAGGGTCAGTGGAGCGTGACCGTACCTGCTCCTACAAATGGCAAAACTGGACCGTTCGACATCACTGTGACGTCCTTGGATGCTACTGGTAAAGCGACTAACAGCTCGGAGTTCGGCAATGTGTTCTTCGGTGACGTCATTGTCTGCAGCGGCCAATCCAACATGGAGCTATCAGTGAGGGCCACGGATAATGGAACGGAGGAGATCGCGGCAGCCTCACAGTACGAGAGTATCCACCTGTTCAACGTGGTACACAACGAAAGCAACTCGAGCATCACAACGATTGCCGGCACGTGGAATGTGTCCAGCAATGCTTCAGTGCCGAATTTCAGTGCCGTGTGTTATATCACAGGCAGGATGCTGACCGACTGGTTGCGTGTGATCTACCCTGATACAGTGATGCATGTCGGGTTGATCGAGAGCAACATCGGCGGTACAACGGTACACTTCTGGGCCCCGCCGGACGTCGGTCTGGCCTGCAACAAGACAGGCATGCTGCCGTGGCAGGGTGAGTGTGCCCAGCATGTAGCCGGCTGGTTGTGGAACGCCATGATCAACCCTATGTCCATGAGCGGTCAGGGATACGCCATCATGGCTGCCATGTACTACCAAGGTGAGGCGGACAGCGGTGAGAATGATCATATGAGCACGGCGGCGTACACATGCGAGCTTGCCAACATGATCCGCTTCTGGCGCAAGGAGTGGAACCAGCCGGCCATGCCCTTCGTCAACGTGCAGTTACCTGGTGGTGGGTACGGTGGCTGCAGTCCGGGGAACTACGATGACGGCCTGACCAGCTGGGTGGGAATACGCGCCGCACAGCAGAGGACGTCCCGGCTGGTACCCCACACCGGGATGGTGGTCAGCGTGGACCAGGGCGGAGCGTTGCACTACCCTCACAAATCCGAAGTTGCTCACCGCGCTTCGCTGTGGATTCGGCAGCTGGCGTACGCCGACAGCAAGGCCAATGCCCAGGGGCCTACGTTTCTCTATGCAACCAAGGCAACGCCGGACGCCATGGAGGTCAAGCTGCACTTTCACGTTACCAACGGTCCTCTCAAACTAGCCAGTGCATGGACCTGTGAAAAGGTGAGTAAAACATAGCACAATACATTGATCCGGAACTGGCATTCGACATTTCTGTGCTATCTCAGCCATATGGTGGGTATACAGTGAAATGGTGAAAGCAACTGCATCATGTCCTGCATTGCATCATGTTCTGCATTGCATCACCCGTGCAGTTCTTACTGGCCATATTTTATGTATGAAAAGGTCAAAGGCCAAGGAGTTCGAATTCTGGCCAAGTTTTAGAAGCTTAGCACAGGTCTACCATGGTAAAAATACGCCGGAGAGGTAAAACCCAAACCCAAGTTTTCGAATATAAACTGAGTAGGTTATGACCCTCAATTCAGCCCAAATCGGGTTTCTCACACTAAAGTTACGGTCAATTGAATGCCATATGAAAATTATGGGTAGGATAGTGGAATAGTGGGAACTCAACAGAGGAGAGCAGATGTTGAATGAAAACTTGAAAGGGTTGGCTGTTGTCGAACACTCCAGGGGCGTCGGACACAGTACGGTCACTACGGTATTGACCCTTCCACTTTTTGCCCCAGGTACCCTATGAATCAACAAAATACTCATCTGGGATCCGAATTTCCAAAATTTTCGGCTCAGCCATCCCTCCCACACGAGTAAATTGTACTTCAGATGGTTGACCGTACCACACTAAAATACCTTCTGACACCCCTGCGACTCACTGTGGTTTGTTTCTGGCCTGGTCCTCTCTGCACAGGTGAAGCCATGCACATGGCCGGCAGTCAACGTGACGTGCTGCGACGGCAACGCACCCTCAATCGTGTCTGTGCGCCTGCACGGCATCTACTACCACACCGACCGGCCCGGCCATCACGGAGGTAACATTTCCGAGACTTGGTCGTGGGTTCCCGCCACTATTGACCTTGATGCAGCTTCAAGCACGGCCACGGCAAAGCCAATGCTACCGCCAGTGGGCACCAAGGGATGGCCTGTTTATTACAGTACCTACCTTGGCACGGAGGCATTCTCCATCGAAGCCGTCGTTGTCAACGCAAACGGCCGGCCAGGCTGCGCAATTGTTGATGCGAGTGGCATTCCCGTGGGCACCTACGAGTCGACTCCTGTCCTTGTGGTGCCAGAATAAAGATACACGGAGTCTAGCCCTGTTCGTTTGGAATTAGGAAGCGGAATAGAAAGATCAATCTCTGTCTGGCTATCAAATTGGAGATGCTTCATCGATACGGAGAAAATTATATACATTACAATCTGCCGTTTCGATGTCAGCACAAAATGGACATTACAGTTTCTATTCAATTTGAAGTTGACAATTTAGACAGTTACTGAAATAGGAAGGCAGACTTCATGATTCAGCCCCTTCTAAATCCCTTTCATATCATGTTCGGCACAATTTCAATTTTACGCTCGACCGATGATGATTATCGGGGAAATACCCGCATTCCCAATAGCAGCTTTGCTTGCCGTCAGTTTATAGCAATGGTAGCATTGATACTCCGACAGATTTACCATATTTTCAGTAGTCTTTCAAGTCTTTTGGACGGAATGCACATCACACACTCACTGTATCAAACTGTAGAGTAGTTAGGTGGCTAACCGAGAGGAGCACCATTCATCTTTAACTCTCTGCCTGTACCTGAGCAGCAGGAGTATATATACCCCTTTGTGTGTGCCACTGAAGATTATGTACAGCGGGCAAAGTAAGCTGCCTGAACTGGCAAAGTAAGCTGCCTGAACTGGCAATGGGTGTGAATGACGCACAGAACGAATACCAGCAGAGCAGGTACTGGCCAGCAAGCTCAGTCTCAACAGGTTCTCAAAGTAAAAATATATATCATCATAGGTCAAGACGAAATAAATATTTTCAAACTTCTCATTGTGCTATCTACAGTTGCTCGGAGAAGCATCAAAAGAATATTCGACAGTGTCTTGTGGACTTGGGAAGGAGGAACAGCGCGATTACATTTTGATGACCCCTTTATATGGACCAGATAGCTTGTGCGGGCAACGTGGTAGGCTGCTGCCATGATAGAAGGCCAGGAGGTTCTGGACGTCCGGAAATGTCTTGTCTCCGTGAAGTGAGAATCCCACACCCTGTATGCCAAGCACGCACACATGAAAATCATTTGGATCACCACGCATCCCCCGACCTGTGAACCGGCAGCGTGTGATGGTAAACGATAGAGCCATGCACACATCCATGATGGGTTTCGCAATCCAGTTTGAATTACTGCGGAGATCACATGTACTGCTGGTACTCGTACTAGTATTTGACAGTGTGAGTGAGCCCATTGCCTGACATGCCACATTGCTGATCGGTACACTACAGAAAACCAGCCTTTACTTACAGCTGTAGTACAACCATGTACACATTATACAAGGAAAAAACTGCTGGCCTGGTGCGAGCAAAGAGAGCTGGGTTATTTTCACAACAGCGTGTTGCCGTACCGCGACTTGCTACCGTAAAACACAACAATACCTGTCCAACATGAACGTACTTGTAGCTTTGCTTGCACTCATGTCATGGCCGTAGCACCTGGACCGGACGGTCAAGCCATGGCCGGATCTGGGGGTTTTTTCTTTCGAAAAAGCTGACCTGCCCAATTCGTGCAAAACTGGGTTTTCGTCAAAATGATGTTCATTCCTGGTGAAGCACCCCATTTGGCCGGACCACTTGGAATCCCAGTGCTATGGCCCTGCATATGGTAGTGTGAGCTGACAAGGGTACAAGCACTACCAATCATGCCCGCTTGTATAAAGCCGTAGAATCCCAGTCACTGTTGACGGTATCGTCAAGAACCTACAAGCCACCCATAGGCAGTCAGATTGATAATACTCAGTATAATCCAGGTGCTGGCAGTCAGATTGCTAATACCCAGTACCCTACAAGCCCAGCAGGAGTTTGCTGTCAGATTTTGGCAATCTGATTGCTAATAACTAGCAGTACCTACCCTTCTGTAGAAGATCTTGTAGTGTCGACATCGGTCGCCCGTCCATACAGAAATGACTTTCTTTGCCTCTTTGCTGCCGCCACTACTTGCTCCCCGTATTATGTAGCAACCGGTTTTTCCCAGACCTCGCAGGAAGCTGCATGGCATGGGGATAAGTGATAGCAGGCATTAGACAAGATGTTAAAATTGCCATAGTAGCATTCTTTTCAAAGCATCAGGCGGTCTCGCCAAGTGCAGACTCAATTCTCTAACAACCGCCGCACAGTGTCACCGTGCTAGAGGCATTTGCTTTGAATGAAGCTCCAAAGCTGGCAACGACTTCAAATTATCTATGGTAGGGAGATCCCCCTGGCTCCAGTCTGGTTGGGCTGTCAGCAGGGAGAACGGACCGCTTTGCCCTCAGACTGATATAGGGGTAAACAATGGGAATGCTATCAGTGAGTGGCGTGATGACCATGCCCATGGGAAAAGAGTGCTAGCAACACTAACAAGTGCTGCACCACTGCACAACTGCACCACTGCACCACTGCACCACTGCACCACTGCACAACTGCACAACTGCACCACTGCACCACTGCACCACTGCACCACTGCACCACTGCACCACTGCACAAGCATGGTGAGCCTACTACTGTAGTGCTGGCCACAAACTATGTGCCGCGTAGGGCCTCGGGTTTTCAACTTGTTCTGGTCGGGATTTTAATTTGGGGATAGTTCAAGTACATCAACAACATCGGGAGATCTGCCACCTAATAGGGAGATGTGGCACCTCCGGAACTTGACATATTTGGCACTACTGTAGATCCCCTTCCTCCTGTTTTCCATACATACCGTGGAACAGACATACACAAATACTTCACAAATACTTCACAAATACACACACACACACACACACACACATACACACACACACACACACACACACACACACACACACACATACACACATACACATGCATGTGCATCTTCCTTCCCTTCCTCCTTCCAGTTCCACTGCCATATCTGGTTGTATGGCCCCGTACGGAGTGGCTCTGAAGACTGAGGTGCTGTCATCGGAGTCAAAGTCATCGAAGAGCACACATCCAAGCTCCATAATTCAGGTGAGTATAGCCTGCAAAATCAGTATTGTTAACATTCCAATATCCAAGGAGCACTGTGACTTACGTGTCTGCCTTGTCTCTGTCCATATCATCCTGAAATGCTGATTTGGGCAAGAACTCTCCAACATCTGGGAGGATGTAGCCTTTTCCACCGTCCTCCTGCACCACAAGCGATCATAGAAAGCAGGA